CTCTATATATATATATATATATATATATATATATATATATATATATATATATAGGTTTGTCGCGTCGCATGCCTCAACGCGAAATATGCTCCGTCTGAATATTCCTACTTCCATGGCGTTAACGCTATAAGCGAAAAAGTGTACTAGACGAATGCATCCTATGTCAGGGTTGCCGTTGTTGGTGATTTTTCACCATTTTGAGGATTTTTAAGCTTTTTTGGTGATTTGGTGAATAACTCTCTTTATTTAGTGATAAAAATGGCAGTGTTTCGAAATTCACTGCTAGTGCAGAAACTTTATAGCATACATAACATGAACTATAGATTTTCAGTACAGGCAGTAAATTTCGGGACACAGCCATCATATGGCGAATTCGATTGAATGCACCAGTGCGCACTGAGGTTGCTTTCCAACAAGAGACACAAGTCGACACAAACATCATTTTATCTTTGTTCCATATTTAGTGAGTAACAAAGATAGAATAATACTTGGTCGACTTGTGTTTCTTGTTGGAAAGCAACCTGAGTACACACTAAAGCCCGTATCAGACTACCGACTACGACTGCCGACTCTCAATGGACTCACCGAGTCAGCGCCTCACTGTGATTGGTCCATTGAGAGTCGGCAGTTGTAGTCGACAGTCGGGTCGATGATACGACTATGATGCGCATGAAACGCAGCGTTAGAGTGACAGAGATACGAGAGTGAGATAAAAAGAATGGGGAGCGTACTCGGGTGAAGTTCTCGAACCTAGGTTAGATTAGTTCTTGAACGCATGAGGCGCATGGACTGCACTATCTCGGAGCTGAGGCAGTCCATGCGTTCGAGAACTAATCTAACCTAGGTTCGAGAACCTCGGATGGGACCCGATTGACCACGATACGATTGGATACAGATTGTAATGATTGGTTCGACCTAGTAATTCACTAGATAATTCTTTTCATCGGTTGGTTGTGTCCAATCGTACCGTGGTCGATCGGGACGCTCCCGAGAACCTTACCCGAGTGCTCTCCCTCTCATTTTATCTTACTCTCTGTCACTCTAACGCTGCGCTTCATGCGCATCATGCGTGGAAACGGAACGCACCCTAATGGCTCTCGCAGCAAGTGCGATGTGCGACGCGACACACGATATGCGATGAGCGATATCCAATGAGCGTATTGGTATTCCGGAAAAGCTGTACGCTCATTGGATATCGCGCATCGCATATCGCGTGTCGCGTCGCAAATCGCGCTGGTCTGCGAGAGCCATAAGGTTTTTTTACTCTTAAGATTGCTTAGAGTACGGTCCAGCGGACGTTGCAAATGCTTTGTAGCGTTTTTACTTCTTTCTCTTTCTTCATTCGAATCTGAAGAATAGAACAAGAGGAAGAAACGCTGCGCAGCATTTGTAGCGGTTGTTGAACATAAATACATCTTTAAAAACTTCTTAGCCAATAAAACAATTCGTACGGATGCTGTATAGATAATTTTGCTGGCTGTATTTGTTGGCTGGATGTATTTGAAGATGTATTTAAGATGTCTAGATATAGCTTCCGGAATGGAGCCGTGTCTTGAATCAGCGATATGCCGACGTCCGGAAGCTATATCTAGACATTGTATCAATGGCCGTGAAAGCCTCAAATCTATGTATTTAAGATGATTTTTAAGTACAAGAACGAATTATAAACTAGTGTACACTCACTACGCACTAGTGCATTCAATCAAATTTGCTAATAGTAACAACTTAAGCCCATTCTACAATTGCGTAAGCGTAGTCGTGAACGTCAACGTAAGAGTCAACCAATCCGAATGTTTTATTTACTGATTGCTTTATTCTGATTGGTTGTCGTAATCACATACAACCACTTACACTACGTTCACGTAATTGTAGAATGAGCTTTACAATACGCTAAAACTAATTACAAAATAAGTTTTTCCCTCTCTTTCTCTCTACGAGTATATTTTCATATTTTTATGAATGTTTAAATATATTATATTAATTTTGTTTATATTTATGTTTAAATATGTTTATTAAAACGTTAAAAACCATCAAAATTGTTTTTTTATCCGAATTTATATACTTAAAAAAGTCTGGTAAATAAATTTTTCGAGCCGCGGCAACACTGCCCTATGTATAAACAACAATGGCGGCTGTCACGTCGAGAGTAGAGGAGTTGATTAATTATTTTAAGACACACAACAAAATTCGCGAGCAGCAAAGTCATTCGGCAAAAGTTCACAGCGTAGGATGGAGTTGCGATGGCAAGTTACTGGCTTCAGGCTCCTTCGATAAGTCTGTTTGTATATTTTCGTTGTGTCCTGATCGCTTGGTAAATATCCATAATATATTTCTACTTTATCTTTAAGACGTTTTTTCTCTTAGAATTGCGAATATAGTAAAACTCAATGTGTGAAGATTCAGTTTTCATAATTCCTACTTGATTGTGTTTGCAGCGGAGAAAGTTGCTTTATAACTTAATCTTAGCTGAATTTAAGAGTATATACTAATCAGGTTCGCGAATTTTATAACAGTTGCAGAATAGCTTTCTTTTGTTGAACATAGTCAATATATACTTAGTAATTGTTAATATACTGTTTTTTACAATCTATAAGGACAGATTTTTAATTAGCTTAGACCTTTCAAAAGAATGTGCAAAGATACCTATTACATTTGAATGAACAATAAACTCTAAAATGAGATATCCTTTTAGATTTGGGGTCTGTTTTCTATTGCTGAACTGTATGCACTAGTTTTCTCTTATCTTTCTTCCACTAACTTTTATCTAAATATCTGTCTCTTTTTAAGTTCCAAAAGTGTAGTAACACTAGTTCAGCAATAAAAAAACAGACCCATTATTTTCTATTCTTGACATTAGTAGAACTTTAATCGATAGCTTAGTCACAAAGAGACTTGATGTATGCGTGTTTTGCAGAAGCAGGAGACAACTTTCAGAGGACATGGCGGCAGTGTGGATCAACTTTGCTGGCATGCATTTTATCCAGAATTATTATCCACAGCAAGTGGAGACAAGACTGTTCGTATTTGGGACACAAGGACACAGAAGTGTACGGCAAACATTGGCACCAGAGGAGAGAATATCAACATATCTTGGTCGCCAGATGGTAATACCATCGCGGTGGGGAACAAAGAGGACCTGGTTACTTTCATTGATGCCAGAGTAATGAAGATACGTGCAGAGGAGCAGTTCAACTTTGAGGTGAACGAGATCTCATGGAACAAGGACTCGGATACTTTCTACCTGACAAATGGTCAAGGTTGCGTCCACATACTCAGCTACCCAGAACTGAAATTGCTGCATGTAATCAAAGCACATCCGGGTACCTGCATTTGTATCGAGTTCGACCCGACCGGTCGATACTTTGCCACAGGATCCGCAGACGCTCTGGTCTCCTTGTGGGACGCCGACGAGTTGTGTTGCCTGAGAACATTTTCGAGGTTGGAATGGCCTGTCCGGACTATCTCTTTCTCGTACGACGGCCAATTACTGGCAGCCGCGTCGGAAGACTTGGTTATTGATATCGGTGAAGTGGAGACTGGCGAGAAGATTACCGATATCACAGTGGAGGCGGCAACCTTCACCGTCGCCTGGCATCCGAAGCAGTATCTCCTGGCTTACGCGTGTGACGACAAAGACACGTACGATCGAAAACGCGATGCCGGCAGCTTAAAGGTGTTTGGCTTTGCCAATGAGTGAAATTATTTTGTAGCGCCTGTATCGGTACTGCCATTGGTGTATTGCCCGAGATACATCTTGTTTTTATAAATAAACACAGCAATATGGGGCAGGAACTGCGTATTATGACCAAGCTGCACGGTCATTTTATGTAAACAGACATATCGGCGGCGTTCAACCGAGAAAGTTGCTTTGCGACTTATTGTTGTGAACTTTGTGAGTTCCCTGCTGAACGCACCTATTAAAAAGACAATTCGCAAACCGCTTGATCTTCCAATAAGTGACGAGTTACCTTCAACAAATAACTTTTTGATTGTTTGGATATTTTTCAAATACTTAGCGTAGAAATCTCCTTTTTATTCCTTTTTTCATCCTTGCAACCTACTTTCAACAAATTAAAATAAACTCTGGCTAAAGCGGACCACACAAACAAACACACACACATATACCCTCGTGTTACGCAATTTTTTGTTGATTACTTAGTCGGCATGGTTACGCGCAGCTTTGATTTTCATTTCCCACTCGTGCAAACATCAACGAGCGTCACATGTTTCTCGTTGTACTCGGTCTTCGTTATGACAGCGAACGCGAATAAAACCATCTGCCAGTACACTTGTACGTTATCCAGCGATGGAGAAGATGCACGGACGAAAGATAAGTTCACTAGTGTTTCTAATATGCACGAGATCGACGAGGACAGCGAGACCGATGAGGAAACTGCTGCTTCGGTGCAATCGGGATCTCCGGTCACGAATGAAGAGAAAGATACCGTTCAGAGTACGAAGAATGCGTCGGAGGACGAGTACACGGGTGAGTCTTTCTACTCCGATGAATCCTGCGACGAGTCCGAAGTCACCAAAGTAACGTCAGAATCGCTGGTCAACGATTCCTCGCCTCTACCATGCACGGCTCATCTTCGACGCAACGAGAATATAAAGTCTACGGACGCGGAAGTACTTGCGACTTCGAACTCTTTAGAACTGCGTCTGCAGAACGATGAGTTTGTCTTGGTGAGCGATGAGCCGCCTAGCGCAATCATCACGGATAGATTCGTCAAGCCAAGGAAATGCAAAAGATGGAACATGAGCTTCACTGATGAAGAGATGCGTAGGATCGAACGTGAAAATGAACTGTTACTCAGAAAGATCATGGCGCAGCAAAAGTCCCGACACAAGGTCCTCGAAGAACATATCGTACAATCCAGGACTAGCAGCTCTGCAATAAACAGGAGGAAGTTGCAGAAGAGAATAGACGATGATAATATGGTACATAATTCCTTCCCACCTTAGAGATATCTAAAATAAAACACAATCATGAATTAATTATAAAGTATTGGAAATTATATATCAGAACAAAAGGACAATATACAAACATTTTTTTGCAGTTACTTGTCAGGAGAATACAACAGGCGAAGTCATGCGTCTTGACAAACGCGTCAAAAATGAGTTCTAGATTAAACTTCTTGTAAAGCTCACAGCATTAAGAAGGATTTTCTTTCTATTGATATTACCGAGAGTAAGACTAATATTTGATAACCATGATTAGATAAATCAATATTACCTGTAAGCTAGTGGTACAAATTTAGAGGCTGTGACGTGATGTACAGTTTCATTTTTTAAATATGCACGTAAATTTTGAGATACTAGTGTCGTATTTGACGAAGAGGAAAGTCGCAGTGTGCGTGGACGCATCTATAATGAGATCCTTGTAAAGTTTCCATTTTCCCATATATAAAATATTACTGTGTTTTTGTGACTTGTTTATTAAAACACAACGATTACCAGTCTTGCAGAATAGGTACATAATTCTTTCATTTCTTTTTTTTTTTCGCTTTGTATACGGCGTAACCTTGTAAAACGTCTTGAAAATTTGCTGCAGGTATCTCTACAAACCAAGACTATAAAAAATCACAGTTCTCACTCGTCTCAACTTAATTATCACACTCGTGTGATAATTAATCGGTAATAAATACCAAGATCAAGACACTCTGGAGTATCGCTCTGGAAATTCTTTCCTTTTTCCTCTTGTTTTGCATACGCACGTAGACAATCGTCGCGAAAGAAAGGAGGGATATACTCTCTCTTTGGTCGAGTATTAAATTAGAAATTTCCATAAACCACGTGTAACGATATACTTGTTTCTTTAAATCAACAAGTTTTGTGATTAACATGAGATTGTATTTTTTTTCTGTTTTTTCCCCTTTTTCGTTTTGCAATTTCACATGTTATATTCCATCTCCATCGTATGTAGTCAATTAATTATGTTCACTCCATGTTTGAAAGATAACCAGACAAAGTCAGGACAAGAGATACCAGCAAAAAGAGGCGGAAAGAGCGAGATAGTATCCGATTAGTATAGTCCGATAGTATAATCCGATTTGATACTGTCATTTTGTTCCCTACACATGATGTACGTAAGCGATCGTAGTGAAGGAAATAAAATGGCATGTTTAATTAATGAGAAACGACAGTAAGGAACTCTTACTGCGTTACTTTCTCTTACTATCTAACCTACACTCTCAGTTTGTCATTGGTACCTTGCAGAAGTAATGCTCAGTCCAGTTATATCTTTCGTTCACGGTTTACAAGCAAAAAAAACTTTCTATAGTAATTCATTCCTGCATATGCACAACGTATCTCACTCGCAATAATTTAAGGTATCGCATCTCAATATGTTTAAATTACGAAATAGAAAATAATAAGTGTAACATTTCTCTTTCTCTAGATTTTGGTTTAAGAAACTATACGAAAATCACTCGTTTGACAGATTTCACCAGGATTACTGTCGTACAACGTAATAATAATTACATATATCACATAGTATGCAAAGCGTAGTTGCAACAAAACGTAACAAATTCCGTGATCTCCAATGCTATCGGTCACATCATGCTGCCGCAGTTAAAACTGTCTGTTACTTTCGATTTTCGCCAAGAAATTGTCGGAAATAAGTCTACGATATCACAAGATAAAACAAGTTCCAGTCATTAGTCTTCGCTTTTCGTTCTCCACGATTCCGTCGTCCATGACGATGATGGCGTCCATATTGTGCTGAGCGAATGAAATGGATCAAATCCCGATCTTTCCTGAAACAATTATTAAAAGTCGTCGTTTTAGCGAGTCTATTCGCAGTGTTTTTATCTCCTTTACTCTATCAATTTCGCTATACTGAATTTACTGTAACTCTGTTATTCAGTCAATATCTTATCGTTCACTTACTTGAGTTTCAGACTGTAACGTTTGCGACATTAAAGGCGGAGCGGCGGCACCCCAGGGTGCTGCAGCCCACACACCACCCGTATTGACTCCCCACATACCACTTCGTTCTTCTCCAACGGCTGCTCTGGTGTGCAATGGTTCCCAATTCATATCGACAGTTGACCAATTATCTGCAATCATATTTTATTTATCGCTAGTTAAAAAAAGTCACGGTGACCTGAAAAAATGATTAAGAAAAAGAGAATTGCATGAAAGACATGGTAAATACGTTCTTGGACAATGTCTGTTGTACGAATTTCATTTCTTAGTTTTGAGGCGTTTTGAGAATATGAATTCTTTGCGATAGGACTTTAAGCTCATCCTCTATAGTTTAGATAATCCAGGATAGCAGAGATAACGACATTCTTTCGTAAACTCATGAGCGTTGTACCTTTCAAGTCAGACAAAACTGGTTTCTCCATGGCTTTCGGCAACTCTGATTGAAATGCGTTTGCACCTGCGTTTGCAACTGAGTTTGTATCTGATAATAAATTTATCATAGGACTAGTATCTTCCCATAGTTGGCATCGCGTATCCTCTTCGGGGGCTTCCAATTCTACCAAAAGCTCGTCGGTTTCTGGTAGGTCGTCATACGGCACTAACTCACGTTCAAACTGTCGACAGAATCCATGAATGATTGTTGTAGTAACAAGAAGCAAAAGTGAAGATGGATTCAACTGTTACTCACGGGATTTTCTACGAAAGTATTGATGAAATAACTGTTCGAATGTTGTGTATCCGACTGTGGAATCAAGGGATCCGGGTTGAATATTTCATCCTTATCCAGAGATACGGTAGAAAGAGAGGCCGGCTTTGACATTAGATTGTACTCCTTTGGCGTTTGTAATAACTCTTGCATTGTCTGTGGCTTAGCATATTGAGTATCCTTGATATCGGTGTCGAACACTGTCGACAGACCTGACGTACTCGTCTGATTCTTGTGTACGTGATTTAAATTGGAGAACGATGAGACGATCTCCTGACTTCGTGCCACCACGTCGCTGAACTTGGCTCTGTTCTCGCCCCAACAAGAGGGCGGAGGCGGTAATGGAACGGAGGAGATTGCTCCCGAGGTGCGCGTTACATCCTCTTTTTGGTTCGCATTGTCGTTTACGGGAGTTACTGTAACAGTAATGGATTATTGGTATTATTATAAACTGAGTATATTTTTTACACACAATTACAGGTACAGTTTTCTGCTACAGAAACACCAGTGTTTTCTAGCTAATATTTTTACACAACTCCATTTTATATTTTTGCTATTATTGATCCAATAAATTTACGGGAATTAGAGAAAATTAATGGAGATTAAAGAAAGAAATCTATAACTAATAATAATGGTTTATCATCATAGTGTGTGTACGCACACACACACGGCAATATATAGTATACTATGAAGAATAACATACCTTTTACATGTGTTTTATCAGTCCCTCGACGTTTCTGCACAGACTTTTCTTTCCGAGGTGGATTCTTACTTTGACGTGGTAACTTAAAGGATGACTCAACAGTGCGCGAGGTATGAACATGATGTTTCACGGTGGACCTAGCGATACTAGTTTTCCATCTATTTGGATTATTCTGCCTCTCCTTATCGTAGTCATCGTCATCACAATCGCCTTCATAATTATCTCTATAATCTACGCATGGCACAGTAGGAATAGATTGAGGTTTACTTTTCTTAGATATTGGCTTTCGTTGAAGCTTCTCTTGTTTTCCGCACGATTGGTCAAAAACCTGATCAAACCATGAAAGAACAATTTATCTATACGTATCTTATGTGGAAATGAGCTACTCGTTCGCGTAATTAATTCGTTAAAGGGGCAACGTCCTATTTTTCAAACAGACCGCTTATTATGAATAAAATAAATATAACAATAAATTATATTTAAAACTCCAATATTTAAATTTTATATGTTGAGTTATTAATTATTTTAGACTATTATATGTGATTCTAGTATAAATGTAAAATCTGAGAGAAAAACAATTGCAACCCAAGTAAAATGAGTCATTTATATAAGTCAGTTATGTAAAGCCCATTCTACAATTGCGTGAACGTGGTTGTAAGTGGTTGTAAGTGATTACGACAACCAATCAGAATAAAGCAATCAGTAAATAAAACATTTGAATTGGTTGACTCTTACGTTCACGACTACGCTTACCCAATTGTAGAATGGGCTTAACGCACACTTACACAACCGATACTTACTTTACACGATGTCGTCTCATCGTGAGTCGAACTTTCTGTTGTCGTGGACGAGGTCTCTTCCTCTGAAAGGTGAATAACCTTTTGAGTGTTTGTGGGCTCAAGTTTTTTCAACACAATGGGATTACTAGGATTACTGTTGTTTCCGGTGTTGTTAGTCTGCTTCCGTTTATTGTCCGATTTCGTAGTCCGATTATTACTCATCGTTCCCGCTTCTACTTGAATTTCGTGGTCAATTAACTTAGATTCTTCCTTGACACTCGACTGTGTCGTCGTTATCGTAGTTTTCCCCTTTTTGTTTGATGTCGGACTCGATCTGATAACCGCACTGAAGGTGCATTTTTTCTCTTGAATTAATTGAGCGTCCGCGAGTGTATCATTCAGCGCGTTATCCGATTGAGTCTCATGAATATTGCTTAGCTTTCTATTGTTTTTTTTCTTCGTGCCGCATGTTACAGCGCTCGCAACACCAATGATATTATCCGCGTTAGACTGTTCCTCGCATCGTTTGAAGGACAACAAATCTTTGGATTCTGTGTCCAGCTTAAATCTCCGCTCCTCGTCAGTTGACCAGTCTGGGATTTTTAATGCCTTCTGTAGATCCTTGTCCTTACACTTTTTCACATTCATCAACGACCTGTCTGGAGAAGTTTCATCCTTTGTACCAGTCTTGCTCTTCTCGTCGCTTGTTCCGACCTTGTCATTTTTCGTCACGGCGTTGACGCCAACTTGCGACGTAGCGTGTCCTGTCGAGAAAAGCCCCAAGTCCAGAGGCGGTTGTACCGAGCTCTCCTTTGAGTAAACAACCAATGATTCCCGCAATATTCGGTCTGCATCGATAATCGAGACTATGAATACGCACACTATCAATCCCATTGACAGGACAGTAGCAATCCACTGCCATACTAGCTCCCACCATGGTCTAACGAGCACGGATCCGCACGAATCTAACGAATACGTCGGTAGAATGGCCAGTAAATTAAATATCACCACACCGTTCTCTACGTCGCTACTATCCGGTCCCACACTGGTCAGTACCAACAGTTTTCGCTCCACGCGCGACAGAGTAAAGTCCGGTGTGAACGCTATCTCGATCATCTTGGTGGCGTTCGGAGTCAGCTCGAAAGCTTCGCAATCGAGTACTTTGAAACCATAACCTTCACAAGGTAAGCCATTGATGTAAAAACCGTAGATCTTAATCGGTAGCTCGCCTGTATTTCTGGCCATGAAAGATCGCTTTGTAGTGAGAACGGGTGCGAGCGTAATATGTTTGCTACGATATCCTGATTGCAAAAGAAAGTACAATTTAGTTTGTTTCAATTGCGCTATATATAAAATAAGATTGAAACTCGCGTTTGTTCGTGGACGATAAAACGCGAGCAACAAGAAATTTAATTCTTCTATTCTTTAATTCTACAATTCTAAAATTGTAAAAAGGATTTTTTAATTCTCTCTCTCCCCCCTCTCTTAGATCGTAAGGCAAAAGTAAAGAAACGTACATACGTTCGCAATCTTTAAGATGCTTGTCCGCCAATTCAAATAGCAAAGGCGTAGTCGAGCCTGGCTTGCGATTCCCGAATCTAAATTGCGCGCTCGCGCCTCGGCCGATCATACGTACAACTTCTAAAATAGTCATATTATTTCTGGAAAATTATAAAACATACATGATTAAGTTGCACGACATTATTAAATTTTGATCCTACGCTTCAACGATTACTCTCTCTCTCTCTCTTTCTTTCGTTAACTTACCTAATATATAAAAAACCAGACGATGCCGAAGCCGCAAAAGGTGTATACGCCACGTGAATTGTCCTTGATTCTAAAGGATATAAATATAAGGGAAGCGACTGAGGTGCTACCGATACACCCCACTGTTTCTCAAACAATTCTCGCTCGTCCACATTTTCTTCCAACTTGAACTCCTCTGGTACCGTGGACGAATATTCCATGTATACGGGCTTAAATCTGCATGGACATAAGCATTTTGTCATCAACTTTAGTTCAGATAAAAAGTAATCTGTAATACAGATGTCAGTTTAATCAGGTTACGTACTTTATCGGCAAAGAGTGATAAAGGCGCGCTCCTTGAGGATAGCTCCAATCCATGACCAATTGTACGATCAGCGGACTCGTGCTCGGATTGTACAGTTTAATCTCTCTGTACGACGTGTTTCCGACCTGAGTCAATGGAAACATCAAGATACTCTTATTTTTTATGTTACTGGAGCTGGCCAACAGGCTGGGCCAGTATAGTTTGATGTTCACGTAGAACTTGTGACCGCGCACTTCACTCGTGTCCAGCTGCATCGTTATATTATCCCATGAGCCATCCATGATGGAGTTGAGAAAACGTGAGTGTCGTATGTTTAACAGATTCAAATCGGTGTCGCGAGTATGCGAGGGAAGGCTCATTGTATTCAACCATTGACTTCCTGCTGTAAGATTAAATATGACAATTATACGAGTATAAAACATTAAAATTGAACAAACATTATACGAGTATAAAACATTAAAATTGAACACTCATTGTACTGTTTACCTGTTATAATAGTTGTAATATCACAACTAAAGTTAAAGATGCAATTTTTAGATGATTTTTAAATTGAGGGAAACAAATAATCACACTTACTATTGCTATCCACTGATAAACCTAGATAGCAATGTTGCTTGCAAATCACTGAAGGATCAATTTGTATCGAACCAACATTATTTTCGCCTTTAGATATGATTGGCATCGTTGCTTCTTCCAGCGGGATGTACTTGATTCTATCATCTTTGTTGATGGGTGCAATATGCGTCACTTCCATTGATCTCGAGAATGTGGAATGCACCTTTACTTGTTGCATACAAATCGTCCCCTATCCGGTAATAACACTGTAAAGTTTCTTTGAAGTTTCGCTAAAGAAAATGCTAGATAAAAGATCAAATTGTAACTCACAGGGAAGCAATCTGTAAAAGTAAGTTTCTTCAAGGAAATTCTACCATGCGCGACTCGCATATACACCGGCAAAATAAATCGCTCGTACGTCGTTCGGACGAAAACCTCGCCAACAATAGTGTCTTCTTCAATCATTGACGTCTTTACTTTGATCTTAAAGATCGCTAAAAAACCTGGTTTTATATACTGCTGAAATAAAAAACGAAACGATGCGTCACTCGCTCACCGTTATGTAAACCAGGGCTCGGCATATTTTGCTCTTTTCGGCCGATTCTTGGGAGCTACGCCTTCCATCTCCCCCTTGCCGCGCGGCGGTCCTAAAAAGTGACGGTCGTGCCTCTAAGCTTGAAGCCGCGACTGGCCGCGACCGTCACTTGCATGGCCCGCCGCGCGGCAAGGGGGAGATAGAAGGCGTAGCTTCCGAGAATCGGCCGAAAAGGGCAAAATGTGCCGAGCCCTGATGTAGACGAATGAAATGTGATATTCTCTCCCCCCCTTTCTCTCTCGCTCTCAACACTTACATTCCCAGAATGGCTGCAAACAGTAACATTTAAAAACTCCTTGTCCAACAAATCCGCCGGACCGTTTTGACATCCTATTAATTCTAAAACTGCACCAGGTATATTCACACCCCAGCCATGTAACTCCACGTTGACAGGGTTTTGATTCTCCAGTGCAAAAATTGCTTCATTCTCAGTACCACTTCCTACAGTACCAAAATTCAAGGTACCCATATCATCTTCCTTCTCCCCCGGCATTATCTTTCTTACTTTGCCATCATAACTCAATAGCGGGACTTCAGTTACGGACACATTGGAGTGTATCAATATCGAAGATTCCATCTTTACGTTATCACCTTTTCGCTCTTTGGCAAGTTGTAAAGAAAATATATTGACCTTTTGCTCAGGTTTTATTACTGTAGGAGTAAAATCTTTTATCTAAACCATAAAAATATACAAATTATCATTTTTACTTGGAATGAGACTTGAGAAGAGAGATATCAAATATGTTAGAAAGAATTTCACGACTATGCAAGTTGTTGTTTCTTACCATAAAAAGCGATTTCGCGTTCGAACACATCGTGACGTTCGTAATAGCTAGTGGTAATTTAAATTTGTTCACCACACTAAAGTTTCTAGCTTGATTAGATTGCGGAGAACAATAATGAGTAATCGATGCGTTCACTTCTAATCCACCTTGCAGCACTTGAGCCACCCATGGAATTGCTAATTTCTGATTAGAGCCGCCAGGACCTATTGCTTTTATTATCAATTTGCCTTTAAAGTGTTGCAAGTCCAAACCAGTTTTCCCTGAGAAGATTGTTACAACATTATATTCTAATTAGACGGTAATTATTGCAATTTCTATTCTATGATACACAATGTTGCATCTTACAATCATAAACCAGCATTCCAATAGCGATCGGTATATCTGTTTCTCCTGGAATTATCGCTGGCTCAAAATGCAGTTTTAATGCTTTCGATACAGGTGTATTTATAATATTCTACAAGAAATAATGTATCTTAATAACATCACAGGAACATATTATCATAGTAATATATAACATAATCAATTTCAATTCATTAATTCATACAAAAACTTACCACAACTTTAATCGCTTTTTTTGCGGAATTCTTCAAAGTAATAGGGTGGTGGATGGGTGGCTGCAATGAACCACCCATACCTAAATTAATTACTCCAGAACTTCCACCCCAATGAAGACCAGCTCCACTTTTCACTTCTACTTCAATTGCTACAACAAGGATCTCCGCAGTGTTATTCACTTTAAATCTGCAATATATTTTTATTATGCACATAAATATATGAAAATATATATAAATCGTCAATCGAATGCACTATATATATTACACCAACCTAACATATGCTGTATGATTCTTTTCTGTATAAGCATTAAAACGTAATCTGATGACAGGCTTTGTTTGATAAGGTAGAATTTCCCATAATTCACGTGTGCCTTCTGACTCTCCTGATGGCAATTCTAAATCAAATTCTCCACCACTACTGTACACTTCCATCACCTTTGTTTATATGCAGTAGTCAGAAGAAATTATAAATTAATTAATGAACAGACAAAACACACGTGTGCGCGTGTACACACGCATATGAACAATCGAGTATTCACGTACTTGTAAAGTTTCCGGATGTGGATTGTGCATATATATAAGAGGTGTAAAAGATGCATTTAATGGTAACTTGACATCAACTACAGGTCTGAGTCTATATGGACTACTGATGCTTATTCCTTTGACCTACAGAAAAACAACTTTATATATACATAACAAGTATATATGTAAAAAATATAATTAGAATAAATTTTATTACCTGATACTTTAGTGTTCCATCTGATGTATGTATAAAAAGGTGTGTATCAATATCACCTTCGTCTCGACCAAGGAAGACAACATTGAATGTTGTGTTTCCTAATGGTGGAATTATCTGAGAATAAATATTAACTATTAACACTAGTTAACTACACACACACGCTCATACTCTCACACACACACACACACACACACACACACACACACACACAGTATATAAAAGTTAGTGTCATAAAGCTGTATAGAGTTGGATGTGTTTACATCTTATTATATCCACTTCTCGTTTGAAACTGCTCCATTATATTGCTCAATAACTTACTTTATTTTGAAAAAATGATGAATGGAAATGACGTGTATTTCCAGATATTGATGAAAGATGTATAGTTTTATTGTGATCTTTGTTAAACATGATCACAGTTTTTTGATGAGGAATACCAAGTTGTCTAAAAGGACAAAAAAAAAATTATATTATTACAGCTTTGTTTACCAAATTCAGATACTACATCCAACATGCTACACTCACCTTTCTTTGAAATCCAAAATGCTTGGTTCAAAAGAAATATGAGACAGTGTATCTTCCATTTTATCCTCGTCCAATATAGTATCACTTAAACAATGTAATAACATTGTTTATACACACACATATACATAATCTTTTTTATTGTGCACTATTATTTTAGATTGCAAAAATTAAAAGTAGGAAAGATAATTTGAGAAAGATTAATTTAAAGTAGTAAATTTACCATTAATAAAACAATATTTAGAATCCTAGTTTTTTCGTTCTTATGTTTAATGGTTATGTTAAATGATTGGTCAGTTGATGCTTTTTATATTATACGTATGCATATAGTGATTCTCAGAAAATCAAATTATAACAAGTATCTTTTCTACTTCCACTCATTATTATTTTAGTATTATTATACTTACCTCGCCACATGTACTGTATTAGTAAAATCCTATAAATGAAAAAAACAAATTTTAATATCTTTGTTACATTAACTACTTTAATAAAATATAATTCTGTAGGAAATAGAAGTAGTTTCTTTAAATAATTATTTGTTCATTATTCTACAAGAACAAATTAGTAGAGAAATCTTTTCCTAGTCTTGTATATCTTTCTTATTACAAGTAAGATATATTTACATATTTTTCTATTACAAGACTTTTCTTTAATTATTTAAATAAGTATTTGATAATGCGAGAGAGAGAGAGAGAGAGAGAGAAAGAGAGAGAGAGCTGTTAACATCTTACTAACCTTATGCATAGATATTGGCATATTATCCAAAAGATATTGAACATTGTTGTCATCCTGGACGAAAGCTGGAAAGTGTTAAAAAACATATATTTATGCTTGTGAAATATACATTTCAAGTACATGCTACCTTATAACTGCACTATTGATTGAAATTTTTACATTTCCAGCTTAAGATTATAAATAAAAAGTTAATCAAATTACAACAACGTTATATAAAATTGTCTTAATGCAGTTTGAAGTAATTGTACACATAGTTTATATCGTAAACACAATCGTGATTGGCAAGATTACACGTGTATTTATCGTTATTACAGTTTTCTAGAAATAATAGAAAAAATAAAAAATAAATGGCGTCGAGGCGAAAATATTGCAATGCGTTGGCGCGGGACGCTTTACTGGGACGCGCGTTGTGTGACGGCGCTTCGCGCGTAAAGCTCGCGATGCACGGCGTGACCTTCGTTGACGGCAAAATCATGACGATACACCGCAACAGAATCATAAAATTACTTTGTCGTTGTCATCGACGAGTATAGTGTGCGCTTGCGAAATTTTGCAGACGAGTGTGTTTGCGATTTGGGCGATTGTTATTGTTAAGCCGGATCGGCACACGATCTGCATAGAAGCAGACGTGCGGAAAACAGAGACGAAAGAAAACGAAGAGAGAAAGACTCACCATTGTTGTGACCGTGTAACGACGGCCGAATTTGCGATGTCGCGTCCAATAGTGTCAGCAGGAACAGATAGTAGAATATCTTTAACTCAGACATAATAATACCTAACGACTGCTGCTGCACTGCTGTTACGTCGGCTGCTATCGTTCGCTATTTTGTCTTTAGCAGACATAAGAGTCCGCTTTCGGCCATACTTTAGTACTATCGAAGCGCGCGGTATCGATTCCGCCGCTGCCATGGCATGTCGCGCCGCGCCGTGGAGCAACGACAAACTTCAGTATCGCTATTGGCGCCATCAGCGAAACGCACGTCTTATGAATTTATTGGAACAAATACTTTATCGTCTCAAGTTTATGTTAAGAAAGCTTTGTAATTAACGAGTATTATCACATACTATCGAGCTAGCTGCTAAGAGATATTAATAACTTTTGTATTTTCTGAACTGGAGGCTAAATTAATCTGTCATTTCGCGCGACATTGGCACGATTGAATTAATATATAGATACGGTTCTTGATTTCGATACAGTTCGCTTTGGATAAAGCTAGCGACACACGATGTTTGTTTTCGTGCTGGAGCTCGTTTCTTGACGATATGTGCATGAGATACGCATGCAAAAATGCACAGTTCACGTTACGTATACTGTAGATTTTCGCATGTGTATCTCATTCACACATCGTTAAGAATCGGACCCCTGATTTGCTTAAGTCAGCGGCATACGGTGCTTGTTTTCATGCTAGATTGCTTACTGGATGGAAATACTCTGTTCTGATTGGTGCATTTCTGAAGATGGACGGAAATGCACTAATTAAAACAGAGTATTTTCAGCAAGAAATCCAGCACGAAAACAAGCACCGTGTGCCACTGGGTTTACTTTAACTTATTGCATCAGTTCAGCAGTGCAGCTGAAAAGAACAGACCAGCTGCAGCTGCTTTTCTTTTTCGGATATTTTCATAATAATTCATTATTTGCACATAATTTAATAATGTTTGGTTATACCAACCCATATAGCACAAGATCTCCTGGCGACGTCTCAGAGATGTCTTGAGGACGTAGAAACGTTTCCAGGACGTTCTTACATTGTAAACCCATGTAGCGGAGCGCGGAACCAATCATGAGCGGAAGCAATCACAAGCAAAAACTGTGGAACGTTCGTGATTGGTTCCTCTCTCGTTCTGTGCTTCGCTATTCCGCTGTATGGGTTTGCACCATTAGGACGTACTCTGGACGTCTTCTGGATATCTGTGCTGTTAGGGAAGTAATCAAATGAATAATTGAATTTTCCTGTATGTTGTTAACATGCAACATATGACACTCATAAACTATTCGCGGCGAATTATTCGCTACTTGCTACAAATTATTCGCAGTGAAAAATTCTCTGCATGAAAACGCATCCTAATGCTGATATTACACGTGTCATACGATAAGCTTTTCGGATGCGTTTATTGGTTGGCGAATAGAGTATTTCTAGGTTCTTTGTTCGTCAACCAATGAACGTATCCAAAAAGCTTGTCGTACATACATGTAATATCAGCTTAATAGCGTGTTTGACTAGTCCAGGGTTAATCGCTAAGTCCCGGCCTAACCGCCGTCACGATAAGACGTGTTCGAACAAGTTCGGACCTTGTGATTTTTTTGGATCGTGTCTTGAAAATTTCCAAGACTTTGCTCTCGAATTATATCATTAATCGGAAACTGGCGTTGGGGCATTACTCTTATAGAGGCCTGTAGCCAAATATTGAAGGAAGGAAGGAAGGAAGGGTTAATCGCTCCGAGAGCGATTAATAACGTCATAAGTCTCTACTAGCCAATCATAAAGTTTATAAGTATTTGTTCGACCAATAAACGTAGACTAAATAACCCAGAGTGGGTTAACCCAGAGCCAGTCGAACATGCTACGAGAGCTGCTCCGTAAGTTTTGCGACTAGTAAGGAAAACACGATAATTTGTCATTGAAAATGGCTTTATTGTTTTTCAAAGTATTCTCCATGATGATCAATACACTTCTGCATTCGCTCAAACCATTTATTATAGCATCCATGCCACTCCGAAAGTGGTACCTCCAAAACATGTGTTTTAAACGCATCAACCGCTTCTTCTGGCGTCGAAAATCGTTGACCACGCAGTTTATTCTTGATGTTCGGGAACAAAAAGAAGTCATTGGGTGCCAAATCAGGACTGTACGGTGGATGACCCATTAATTCGATGTTTTCACTGGTTAAATAGGCGGTTATTTGAGCCGATGTGTGAGAGCTTACATTGTCATGGTGAAGAATGATTCGTCGTCTTGAGTTGTTTTTCCTTATTTGGCCGAAGACTTCTGGCAAACAAATGGTTGTGTACCACTCAAAATTGACCGTTCTACGTTTCTCTAAGGGTACTGTTGCCACATGACCAGTTTTTCCGAAAAAACAGACGACCATTTGTTTCGAAGTGCTTCGAGCGCGAACAACTTTTGTTGGGTTAGGTTCACTTTGAAAGACCCACACAGTCGACTGCTGTTTAGTTTCCGGCTCATATGCATAGATCCATGACTCGTCACCTGTGTAGAGGTTATATACGGCATTTGACGCACCTCGATCGAATTTCTTCAGCATTTTTTTGCACCAATTTACACGATCCTTTTTTTGAGCAATTGTCAAATTATGCGGGATCCAACGTGAACAAATTTTTTTTACGGCCAAATGTTCATGCAATATCGTTTGTATGCAATTCATACCAACACCCAGGGATGCCTGAATCTCACGGTATGTCACATGTCGATCTTGCATTATCAATTCACGCACAGCATTGATGTTTTCTGGAACAGCAGCTGATTTTGGACGACCTTCGCGAGGTTCGTCGGTGAGCGAACTACGACCACGATTAAATTCATTAAACCAGCGACAAATAGTGGCTTTGTGTGGTGCTTTATTGCCAAAAGTGGAAGCAAGTTGATCGATGCACTCTTGTCTCGATAATCCACGTCGAAAGTCGTAAAAAATCATCGCACGAAAGTGTTCTCGTGTTAATTCCATTTTTTCGCTGAGACACAATTTTCAAGTCACTAAACAATACAAGTAGCCTCCGTATGACAAAACGTTTCGAGTAAAAAAATCTTCCAAACTGTCAAACTTTTTGATGGTAAGGTTAGATTTTACCTAGCAACGTCAGTGTTACCAAGTCGCAAAACTTACAGAGCAACCCTCGTATAAGACTGATATTACATGTCATACGACAAGTTTTTCGGATACGTTCATTGGTTAACGAATAATGTATTTCTAGGTTCTCTGTTCGTCAATCAATGAACGTATGCGATAAACTTGTCATATAACATATGTAAATTAGCCTAATGACGACCCGGGATTAAATTTTCCATTTTTTTTCACAAATTGTTACTGATTCGTGACTTTTAACGTGCCTCGTATCTCGTAAGAAAATTTCAGAACCTATAAAATACAAAAAGCTTAATAAACTTTATTTATATTTAAAGACAATATTCTGACAATATACATCACTATAGAAATAAACCTAAACCTGGCTAACCTACACTGCTGTATTTAAATTTTTTATCTTACCGTGATGGCTAATGGTTGTACGAATGTTTCGAAGAACAAAAAACCATAAATAATTTAGTAATTTCATACTATATTGCATTCTTCGCGCACTCTCCATCATCTCCACCGATTCACACGCGCAAAAGAGAGTAGAGAAAAGTCACACGAGTGGTCCACAGAGTACGGTTTTCGAACGGCCATGGTCGCATGGTCAGTATGCCCACTAGGGGTTTTCGAACGATCTGAGTGTGACAAAATACACACGGGTGATGTTTTCGAACGCACCCCTGTGTGCAGGAGCCATAAGGCTGAGTTCCCACTGAGCGCGTCACGCGTCGCGTCGTTTTCTGCGTTACGAGTTAACCAATCAAATCGTTCCATTGGAACAAGTGCATCGTGCGTCGCGTCATCCCAATTAGAGGATTTAGGCCGGTATTCATAGTCGAATCTTATTTCAAGATCGTCTTAAGTTATAGGTTTGTTCTTTCGACTGTGAACTGGCTGCACTAGTTCACGAAGTTTGCACTAATGCGTTCTTTCGATCAGAACAGTGCAAGAAAATGTGTTCTTTCGAACAGTGCAGGCTGAACTAGTGCAGCGAGTTCAGTGAACTGACTGCCCTAGGTCTGGAGGTAGAGCAAGCAGTGCAGGGCAGCTAACCGAAAAAATTTAAATTTGTATCTATAACCTGTAAAATCGGTATACTTAGTTGACATTACGTAGAAGAAATAATCCGACGACGGAATCTATAAACAGTAAGTAAATACTTAAATATATAATAAATATATAATGTAGATAAATATATAATAAATATATAATGTAGAATGACATAAAAGAAGTATTTAGAATGTTATCCAAACAGCACAAAATATCCGAAAGACATCCTGGGAAGGCTCTTGGACGTTTTTTCGGAGGGATTTGTTGTATGGGTATCCAACACAAAACAGTTTTTAAAAGAAATAGGATTGTTCAACAAAACATAAAATGCTATAAGTGCGAAAACATGACCATAAATTGATCTATGTTATTTAATCCAGCCATGTTGTCCGCCATCTTACACTGCTCTAACTTGCTCTTACCCGTTCTTTTCAGACCCATATGTATCTTTGCACTGGTCTGCACTATCTTGAACTTTCTTCAACTAGTACAGTTCCAGTGCAGCCCTAGGTCAGGTCGAAAGAACAAACCTTATGTCTTAAGATGCGAATACGGCTCTGTGATTGGTTCATGACATCTTAAGACAGTACTTAAGTTGATCTTAAATATAAGATCTTAAATATAAGATTTGACTATGAATACCGGCCTTAGAGTTCTCAGTGGGAACTCAACCATAAGGCCGATATTAAGGTGCTTTTATATGGAAGCATCGAGCGTTGAACGTTAAAGCGGTAGCCAATCAATGTGCCACTTTCCGCAAGAACTATAAGACTTCTGAGACGTTGATTAGCTAATGCTTTAACGCTCGACGCTCGGACGCTCCTATTTAAAGGTACTTTTACACGTACGACAAAGAAATCCTAGTGATTTTTGTTCTTATTGATAAATTAAATACTACTACTCTACCAGTCGAGTAGAGTTTTGGAACGTAGCCCTGCATGTTCGACTGGCTCTGGGTTAACACACTCTGGGTTATTCAGACTACGTTTATTGCTCGAACAAGTACTTATAAACTTTATGATTGGCTAGTAGAGACTTATGACGTCATTAATCGCTCTCGGAGCGATTAACCCAGGGCCAGTCGAACACGCTATTAGTCCCGATCTACAATGGGTGTATATCAGTTGGACACCGGGCAATTGGACACAGTCCAATCACAAGTCGCTGTTCCAAGGGACCCTACAAATGTCTCTAATCACACGGTGCTGTGATTGGTTGTGTCCAAATGCACCGTGTCCAAGTGCACCGCTCCCATCTACAATAGATGTAGTAAGATTAGGAATTGAAGATTAGATTTTGACGAAATAACAAATTTCGACTTACTTTATTTTAATTTGTCAAATTCCAATCTTTAATTCGCAATCTTCAGTTTCTAATCCATAGTCTGATACGGGCATTATGAAACAAACATATTTCGGCTGCGTTCCGAAATTCACTGCCTGAGTTGGAATTCTATAATAACATGAACTATAGATTTATATATTTATATAACTATAGTATATGTAACGTGAACTATAGATTTTCAGTACTGGCAGTGAATTTCGGAACGCCACCTTGATAACCGAAAACTACGTTTGGTGAAAACGCAGTTGAGTTAAGGCCCTTGCACAATGCCAGGCTACAGGCAATAGAAATAAGCATTAGCCAATAGGAACAGGGAATAGAAATAATTGCCCAATCCGAATTCCTATTCTTTGTTGCCTGGCATTCTGCAAGGGCCTTTACACAGTGGCGCTATCGCGTGACGTCATATCGGTGGCCGCGCGTATACATACGATATATTCGGCCTGCCGTCGCGCTCTCTTCGGGAACCCGGTTTGCCTACGGCAATTCTTGGCGCCTTCCATCTCTCGAATGTGCAGTGAGCGCCGGTGTACGTAAAATGGCGGATGGTGACGTTGATATTTACGGCGACGATCTCGATCAAGATTTCGCGCAGGTAATTCGCACTTCTCTTTCGTAGTAATAAAGGGACTGGGGTGTTCTTCATCCATCTACCTATCTCTCTCTCTCTCTCTCTCTCTCTTTCTCTCTGTTTTTCGTCATTCGGATATAGGAAAACACAGAGAAAAACGATCCGCATTAATAAGCCGAAAAACTTGACAATGCGCTCCGCTGCACGCGAGAGGGCTGCCACCGCGACGTGCCGCGCCACGCCGCGACTGTGAGACGATCATTGTTTCGCGTCGATTCCGCCGCAAGCCGGGAGAAGTGGTGTCGGCGTCATGGCGGAGATACCGTTGCTAACGATCAGCTCGCGTTACTAATTTCTCCGGTGCCATCAAACTACTTATCTACTCCACTCATTCTACTCGATGTGTCTCCGGGTCCGTTGAAAGCTGGCGCGTAAGAAAAATTTTGCTCTGGAGCGAAAGCAGGTCGGCGACAAACGGGCGGCTGGTCCGCGCGCGCGCGCGCGCGTGCACGTCAATGAGCAAGCGGATGAGCGTTTCTACCACAGAGAACGTTTCGATCCGAAATTGCTCTCCTCCTCTTCCTCCTTGTCATCACGCGGTTGTGTCATATCGTTCTCGATCACCTGTCTAAGCTAGTGCTCTCTTGTCCTGGTCCGTCGCCTATCGGAGCTTAGCGTACGCGCGAAACACTAGTACGGGTTCGCAGCAGGAATACGCAAAATGGTGCTAGCGGTAAGGCAAATGTCGTAGTTATTATTCTCGCACTATTTGTACTATTTTTTTTCTCTTTACACGCCTCTTTGTTCTTTTTGTTTTTTTTATTTAGTTTCGTGCGCGCGCGCCTATACATTACACTCCCTCCCCCAACCCCTCCACACACACACAGTGCATACATCTTTTTACTCTACCGCACTGCATGTGAGATTACATTTTTTCTTTGTGTATATTATATTCTTTCTTGTTTACATTTTATTTATTCTATTTAATGTATTCTATTCGCAGAGAAATATCATAGTTTTGAAATATTTACAGGGATTGAAACAAGTATAATTTCATCTAAGTTAATTTACAGTTTCGTTGTGCCAAAGAAAATAGATCTTATCTCTCAATTATTGAGTTTTTAGATTAGAACTTATATTGACATTTTTATATTTATCACTCGATTTATAGAGATACCAGATAAATAAAATAAAACTTATAATTACATAGTTACATTTTGCATATATGTTAAGTAAAGCTGGAATTAATTAAAATATAAATTTAGTTGTAGAGTTTTTCAGTTGCATTTGCAAATCTTTACATTTTGAATGAAATAAGTATAATCGCGTATCTTGCATTTAAAATTATACATATAAAATATAGAGCTAAGAGAACTTAAAAGAACACTGCATAAATTGCAAATAAAGATCATTGTAAATAAATATTGATATTAATTATGTACTTATTGGTGCAACATGTATTGCATCAATATTTGAATTCATTGAAATTATATCATCTTCAATCCTTGTTCTCTTTCATCTTTTCTTAACGCAAGAAAGATTGTATATCTCCATATCTGTTACAGTCGAAGTGTACGATTGCTTGAACCACAAGGTGCGCAGGAAGTTGCGTGTAATAAGAAAATGGTACATCAAATGATTTTTTACATTTCAATAATTTATTTCCACAAATTAATTTATATCAAATTCTTGCAGACATTGGTTTGCTTTTCCTTTTGATTTTCTTTTCTTGAGATCATGTTGTTATATCGAGCATTATTACTGAATTAGAAATTTACACATTTGTTTAATATTTTTACTCCTGTATACAATTTCGCTGATTTTCTCATTTATAAATTGTACTTTATCCATATGTAACAAAATGATCTCAATATGCTCCTTTAAATTGGACAGTGTAATCTATAAAAAGAAAATGGATATTAAATGTATAAAATTTTTTTCTGGCAAATATGAATTATGTAGCTATATAGTTTCAACAGTTTCGACAGAGCACTGTTAAAGAATAGAGTAGGATTAGCATCTAAAGTATAGAATATTTGTTAGGTACTGTACTTTGAACTAATTATTCTGTAGAATTATTTTGCACTTTGACTGTAACATATTGAACATGTGTGTGTGTGTGTGTAATTAATTAACAGGTAAAAAGAATTGTATTGCTGCTTTTTTGTCAATTAAGCTGCTTTTTATATGAAATACAATGAAAGCATTTATTACATACACTTTTTGATATTACGCAAATAAAATTATATAAAAAGATGTGTATATATATATATATATATATATGTATATATATATATATATGTATATATGTAATATATATATATATATATATGTGTGTGTGTGTGTGTGTGTGTGTGTGTGTGTGTGTGTGTGTGTGTGTGTGTGTGTGTGTGTGTGTAGAAAAGAGGAGAAAAATATGAACTTATTATTTTATTACATTTATTTTACATGTCTTACCATAAGGTTTGTTTGTATACATGTTTTAGGATGAATTCGCTGGTGATGGTGTGGATCTCTATGACGATGTGATTGCTGCACCAGCTGGTGGCAATGGGGGTGTCTCATCTAGCAATACAGGAGACGGTGGTGGTGATACCACATCTCCAAATGAGGAAACCAATGGAAATGCACCTTACCATCAACTTGGCAATAACATACAACCTAATCAAATCGGCAGACGACATCAGTTATATGTTGGAAATTTAACTTGGGTATATATATACACGTAAAAGTTTAATTTGTTTGCGATTAATTTGTTTCAACATTTTAAAAATTCAATCTTTTTTGTTGCTTTCTTATTTGGTTGTAACAACTCCTTGTTTAGCATATGACAGATAATATGAAACATTTGTGATGTACTGCTGTTAGTTTATCTCACTTGTTGATTAGTATGTTTGGCTTTTAGTGGACAAGCGATCAGGACATCACAGATGCGGTTCAAAGCATTGGAGTAACTGATTTTGTGGAAGTGAAGTTTTTTGAGAATCGTGCCAATGGGCAATCGAAAGGTTTCTGTGTGATATCTCTTGGCTCTGAGCAAAGTATGAGGATATGTATGGATAGACTACCTAAGAAAGATCTTCATGGTCAGAATCCAATAGTAACTTTTCCAACAAAGCAAGCATTGAACCAAGTATGTACTAAAATGCATTGCGATATCAAGTGACATACATTCGCGTGCGCGTGTGCGTATATGCTGTGTCTATACATATAAAACAATAGGTTAGTCGTAGCGTGAAGGAGTATGCTCCGATTGTTGCGGCGATGTGCATTACGACATAATACAACTTATACACGACAATGTTTTTTTATGTGTTCTCAGTTTGAGTCGCAGTGTAAGACGCGACCTGCTCCGGCTCCTCAACAGAGTCAGAGCCAACGTCCTCATAACCCACATCAACATCAGCCACCAATGCCACCTCATCAACAGCATCCCCAACATCCACAACATCCACAACATTCGCAACAAAATCACGGTCCTAGAATGATGATGGGTCCTCCGCAGGGCGTGAGACCACAAAGGATGCCGCCACCGGGAATGGGTCCACCGGGCCCTGGTGGACCCGGCCAGCAAGTGCCACCGCGTATGCACGGCCCACCTATGGGCCCTGGTCCAGGACCTCACCATCCTCTACCTGGTCATCCAAATCAAGGGCCACCACCTGGTTATCAGCAAGGACCATGGAACGGACCACGACCTAATGGTCCACCGGGTCCACCTAGGGGCCCGAGTGGTCCTGGTGGTCCACCGCAGCAAGGTCCTCCTGGACCAGGTCCCGGCCAACACAGACTACCGGGTATGGTACGTATCACAGACATTTTCCTATATTGCTTTTTAAAGACAAGAAATTAAATATTGAGAAAGATACATCGATCCATATTCTAGTGCCACATTTAGCAGTTTTTAATCTAGATGAACTTGAAGTTTATTTTTGTGACAAATTTTTTTAGAAAAACTTGCATTTTATGAATTTCATTTTATTATCGTAATAAAAGTTTCAAATACAACACACTTTTACCACAATGTATCGATCACCCGTAACTGTGAACAAAAGCGCACCATAAATATAAAAAATTATTAGCTCCGTTACTCTCATAGTGGCAAACAATTGGTGAGAATACGGGATATTATCACTGAGACACGTAAATATACGTAATGTTAGAATGTATTAACCTGGATCAAACTGCACGAGAAAATCTATTTTATCGTGTAAAGATATCTGCAACGTTATTAACTACTGATAATACTAGAGATTTTTTGTAATAGATCTTACAAAGATGTTAAAACTGCGCAGAATCTAATTATTGATGTGTAAAGAATTATTTCAACAATTTTTTCGATATAACGATCGTGAACTTTTTATACAAGATGAATTTATACAAGGGTTTCTGCGCAGTTTCTATAAGATCGGTTAATGCATGTATGTCTATTGCAAGTAATCATAGTACAGTAACTTAAATATGTTTTGCACTTACATGTCTTACACGTAAACAGAGTTGCGCTAGAGAGCTTTCAAAAGCCAGTTACCATATGTCACAGGTAACTGATGAGATTTCTTTTTTACTTGTGCGAAACAGGTTTTGTCTCGTGTTGTCTAATGTTACCAATTATCTCGATCAAATCATTTCAATCGAGAGCGCTCTGTCGTGATTTCAAAAGCTAAATTTTATTTTTTATTATGATTACTAAGAGTAAGATAGAACAATCTTCGTTTGTCTCGGCGCATTTAGCAATTTCACGGTGGTCCGCCTGGACCGCCTGGTCAAGGACCTCCTCGCGGCCCACCTGGACATCCCGGTGGACCACCAGGGGACCCACGTGGAACCCAACCACGTCCTGAATGGAATAGACCGCCAGGTTCGTGCGCAGACCGATCTGTTACTCCTCAAGAACTTTGAAACATCTTGGACTTGAATGCTTTTGTAGAACTCGATTAGTTTTCCCAATGTGCATGATCAGGATAAAGATAATTAAAACAGTGAGGTTGGTGGAGACTTGTTAAACGGGATATCGTGCGCAACAAACACTGAAGTATTAGTAGTGTGCTACATGTAATCCTCGTTTGCTTGAAGATTGGTATTACTGATGAGATTGTTCAATGTGCATAGGAATGCATCATGGGCCTCAGGGACCACCTGGTTTCCCTCAACATCAACATATGCAAGGGCCGCAGCCTGGCCAAGGCCCACCACAGAGAGGACCTCCTCCAGGTTCTATGGGTGGTGAGAGACTTAGAATGCTCATTCGATGTCACAAATTTTTATTGTTGCGAATTGTTTTTACAACACATTATATGCGATGCATGATCTTGAGGGAAATTGATCTTATAGAAGCATTAAAGTGCAAGGTGTTTCAAAAGATCATTTCGTGTATTGCGTTTATGTGAAGAACACACGCACAAACACGCATTAGATTTATAACCAAACTCACTGTAGTACATTTTATTGTACCATATTTATAGATCGCGTGTATTCGTAAATGAATTTTGTTAAACAGATTGTTATGGAATTGATAAAATATATAAAGTAGAGGATTGCATTTCACTGGACGAATATGTGAAGAGCGTATGATTAACGATATAATTCGAGTTGAGAATCGATGTGAGAATCTGATGTTTTTTCTCAATTACTCGCACCTCTGTAACAGTAAATACATTTATTATTTGTATATATAACAAGTGGAAAAGATCCAAACGAGATAAATTTTCGAAACTTATTATTTCCATCTGATAGTGAAACAGTAATTTTATCTTGTAGCTACGTATTGCGCAAATATCAGTACTTAAGCTTGAGATCTGTATTGATAAAACCTATTAATAGGTCCAGGGGGGCCGCCACCTGGACATGGTGGTCCGCCTCAGGGACCTCCTCAAGGACCACCTGGCGGCCCGGCACCTCATGTCAATCCTGCATTCTTCCCGCAAGGTCCACCACATCAACATCCCGGCCAGCATCCACCCGGACCACCTGGTCCACCTCATGGTCCACCCCATGGGCCACCTCATGGGCCACCTCATGGGCCACCTCATGGTCCGCCGCATGGACAACCGCATGGACCACCTCATGTACCACCACACGGTTACGGACCACCAAGTGCACAGGTATTATTTTTTTCATATTATTAGATGTTACTAATTGACAATTAAAATAATTAGCGTATTGCTCGCATCGGTTATAAATTACTATTAAATATAAATATTATTAAATATAAATACTATATAAATTACTATTAAAGGAAAGCTTCGTATGGCGTGACGCTCGATGGACTGCTGATGATTCAGACGAGCAATCGCATAATCGTTGAAATAATTAGATTATGTAATTGTATATCTTACACCTTATTATTCTGATTAAGTGAATTTTTACGTTATATATCATTATTATATAAAGTTTTGATGTCTTAAGGAAAATCGATCTTGCGAATTTTGTACTCGCTTTATAAAACTTTGAAAAATCTTCTAATGAAAGTTGATACTGTTTTGACAGTTTACTTGCAATACAGTGACATGTTAAATTTTTTTAGACACCTTACGGAGCACCCGGACCTGATCATCGTCCAGAAGGTCCACCTCCGCTTACTGAGCAAGAATTCGAAGAGATAATGGGCCGTAATCGCACAGTATCTTCGTCGGCAATAGCGCGTGCAGTGTCTGATGCCGCGGCAGGCGAATACGCAAGTGCCATAGAAACTCTGGTCACCGCAATCTCGTTAATCAAGCAATCCAAAGTAGCCGCGGATGACAGATGCAAAATTCTGATTAGTTCTCTACAAGATACTTTACGCGGTGTCGAGACCAAGAGTTATGGATCCGGACGTAGAGGTGAGGTGAACGTACAATGGATAAAAAAAAATTATCACGCCTCTATCATTCCCCTCCCCTCCTTTACGCGGAAATATATTAGAAAGCTTCTATGTTTTTTTATCCAGAAAATATTACGTTTTGGTTAATATTACTATAATTAAGTGCATTATTATAAAAAAAGATATTATTATAGAAAAAGATTAAAATAGATTATTATTTAAAAAAAACATGAGATACAAAAATATTCATCTTTACTGCTTGATGTACGGCGCTTTATTGCGATTGATAAAGTTCCATTTCTGAAAATTTGTAAAATCGTCATTCTATGCAGATCTATGTATTTAAGTGACTGATATAAAATTTAAATGCAAGTCTCTTACATTTGCTGGAATATTAGTCTGTAGATTCGCCATGTCCGTGTTGATATTATATCCTTGATAAGCTAAACGGACTCTGGAAACTTCATGTACACGTAAAATTCTGGTCAAGTTGCTCATTTTCACAAGTAACGCATTTTCTTACAGAGCGCTCACGTTCGCGCGACAGAGAGCGCAGCCACAGAAGACGACGGGAGCGGTCCAGGAGCCGAGATCGCGAATATCGCGAGCGTAGCAGAGACCGGGATCGTGAACGTGACCGGGAACGTGATCGCGAAAGAGAAAGGGACCGTGATAGGGACCGGGAACGTTATTACAGCGAACCATATCCGAGAGAGCGATCACGCAGCAGAGAAAGAGAGCGCGAACGTGAAAGAGATCGTGAATATAGAGAACGAAGCAGAGAAGAAAGGTAAGCCAAATGATCTCACAAGACTATATTCTTAATTACAATACACGATATAAGAGAGCGCACCCGTCATGTATAAGAATGTCTGTTGAGGACAATTTTCATTTAGGAATGAAATGAATTTAATGATAGGAATCGTAGGCGCAAAAGACAAAAAAGAAAGTTTAATCGATGTGTATTAATGTACGAATTGTATAGTGAAAGCGATCAAGTTTCCGACTGGATTACGTTTATCATCGCAGGCGATACATTGAAATCAATACTCTTACGTTTAATTATTAGATTTTTTTATTACTCATGATACATTATCAGTGCAGACCGTCGCGATCGAGAATTAAACATTAGAAAGAATTTGAAACATGAATGTATAATGTGAATAAATAGGAAACGACAGGTGACATCAATATCCACGATCAAGGAACCAGTCTCTCTGTTCTGCGACTTTCTTATATTATATTTTGATGTCAAAAAAATTAGTAGAAACATATTTTTATTGCTTCAATCATAAACATATGATTTATTGTCATTTGAGATTTTATCATATAATTATTTAAACTGTAGTGTAGCAGTAGCAATAAAATCAACGTTACATTTATTCGTGCATTGCATTATCGTGTAATGAAACGCGATGGTGAGCTATATAATGGTAACTACAAAACAAATCATTGTGAAGCAAAATTGCTTTCAGAGTGATAATATTAGAGACTTTATCGCACTTGTTTTATAGCGGTGGAATTTTGTCAGAGATTTTCATGTAATTATGACTGAACACTTTTAATCATTGATCAATATATACAATTTCTCCTTATATTTCATGTTTTTCTATTATAATAGTTTTTGCATCGACTATATTGGTTAGTGTCTTTAAAAATTCATATTTTGTATCAATCATGAATTCGTAAAAAGAATTACAACATTTTGACTGATCACTACTAAGCTATATAATATAAAAAGAAATGCATTGTGTAACGAAATATGAAACTGCATAAACAAAGGAAAAAAAAAGTATTGTATGCTCGTAAAACAGAAGGAAGTAAATCAGCAGGTAAAATACCTGAAACACTTAGGTATGTAAAATTGTATATTATTTTTATCTTAGAGCATTGTCTCTACAATATATTCAAGTATATTTGCTTGAATTTTAAAAAGACGAATTAGTGGTTCGAAAAAATATCATAGTATAACAAGATGTAATTTATACAAAAAACAAAAAATTTTTATGTATCTTGTTAATTTACATTTAGGATACTGTACGCCCTCACGCGTGAATTCACGCATATGCAAAACACATTGTGTTTCTTCTCTTTCTAATTGTATTTCTTTGGTTTCTCTTTATACCGCGGGGCTAAACGCCAGTTGTGATTTTCGATCAAGCTCACGTGGAGAGAGCCAGATCGAATGTAAGATTCAATCACACTACTACTTGTGATTTTAGTTATTTGTCACGATTTAATTTTAAGATCGACGAGTATATGTTATGTATTTTCCGCCCCATGTTGCATTTTTTGTGGCACGTTTTTTGTGAAGATATTTTATAAAGATAATTTGGTAAATAGCGTCTAAAAGCGCGCTCAGGCTGGATAAAATATAACCTGCTAAGAGAGACGAGATACGAGAAATGCGCCATTTTCAACAGAATTCTAACGACAATTCTTTATACTTTATGCTCATGTTGTTCTAAAGTTTATGTTATAGTGAGGAAGATGAAATCATGTACGCGAATCACAAGTCGGAGAATATTATAAGTACACATGAGTAAAATTAAAACTTAAATTGGAAATGTTGATAATCTTCATTGCGTGTTATTCTTTTTGGCATATAGTATCAGGATTAATGTTAAATCGTCAATCATTTTTGCAATAATCGATGTCGATTAGTATTCGCTAATTTAAACGTATGTAATCCTTATTTTATAGAACGTCACATTGAATTACAATCGTGATATTTGACCATCTTTATGTGTTTGTGTGAATGATTATTCTGTAACTTAACAGCGTAAGCTTTCTTTCTTTCGTTTATTTTGAAATAGCGGCGATTCATGTTATTATCATCTCTTGAAACAATTTACTTTTTATAATTGAAATGTACTAAGCCTGGTTAGTGGTACACGAACCATCATAACAGAATATCCATTTTCCATTAGTACAACACGTCAGTCAGCCAGGCCAAGAGTAAAAGAAGAACCGCCAGAGACGGCACCCGTCTCGTCTTCCAAGGCGTCTAGGTAATTTACTTTTTTTTCCATTACAATGAATGCATGTAGACTTAAATAAAATTTAAGTGCAGATATGTGGTATATGTAAAGACACACGAAGTATTTGATAGGAATCCGTTGTGTAGATAAAAACTATGTCTTTTCCGTAATGCACTTAAAATAGGCATCGAGAGAAAATTAAAAAGAAAAGAAAACGTAGATATCGTTGAAAAGTAAACAATTGACCAGAATTTTAAAGAATAGTTACATATCGTCGAAAAGACAGAAGTGCCTCTTAAATTGATTGATCACTAAACTTTGTATATATTCGTGTAGAAAAAAAATCAGGGAAACATATATTACGATACAGGCACTTGTAGCAATTACGTTGCCGTTATAATTATATAATTACAAGAAGTACTACCTGTATTTGATGCGTACCGATTCGCTTATATATTTTTGTGCACGAAAACTATAAAGTAGCCCAATCTATTGGGAAAAAAAAGAGCGTGGAGAGAACAGGAAGGAAGAAAGATAATAGAATATGTATATATGTACAAGGTTTTTCAGATTTTTAACGGTCAAACTATGTCGATACGTTCTATAAATAAAAGTAAAAAAAAGATATATATATTTTTTTTTAATTTTACATATTAAACTTTTTTTATATTTATAAAGTTCTAACAGAAGAGAATAGTGGACTTGCTTTTATTATTAGTACATATATGGTTCTAACGATTTATTTCAAAGCGTTCTTGTTAATCATTTTTTTCAGTGTAAAATTCACATAATTGAAAAATCAAATTGTCGTACAAATTTTGTATAAAGAGTGCGGCCAAGTGTCCATAGATATTTTTCGCTCTTTTTCCAAAAACTTTGAATATTCCAATTAATGATGCACCGATTTGAAACTTATGTCGAGTAGATTGAGAATATAAAATCTCGATGATATTCTCGTTTGAGAGAAAAGGTTGCAATCTGAAAAAAAACAGCCATATTATTGAGATTACAATTTTTTAGGCTTCGAATCGATATATCGGAATATTCAAAGTTTTACAAAATCCGATGGAAAAAGGGGCGAAGCTTGACTGCACTCTTTTATTTTAGATCTCAGCGGGGGAGATAATTTATTAACTGAATTAAATTGTGTTTAATGTGTAACTCTCATAAACCTTTTCTTGCGTCTTGACGCTAGAATCGCTGTTGCTCCCGCATCAAATAGTTTACATTTTTATCATAATGCTCACATAAAGCTTAAAAGATGGATTATCCTATATTTATGTGACATTATTTTTCTTTAATCCGCAGAACAATTTAGCATAATTTAGCCGTTAAAATCTGAGAAACCTTGTGCTTGCGTATGTGTGCACATCCATACATAGATAAATATATATTTGTATGTTTACGCACATACTTGGCATTTCTTTTGTAAACATATTTATTCACAAGTAATATAATTGCGGTGATTAACTTTTGTAATAAAGTTAATTTTCATAGATATAACAAAGTTAAACAAGTAGCATTAAAGTAAGATAATTGGCTGACGTGTGACTTGTGTAGGTATTATGATGATCGCTACAGAGAGCGTGAGAGAGACAGAGATCGAGAACGAGAATCAAGCCGAAGACCATCTGAGCGCGAACGGGAGCCGGAACGAGAACGTGAGCGAGAACGAGAACGAGAACGAGATCGACGCGACGAGAGAGGAGACTCCTCACATCGTTCAAGACACTAAAAATATCAGAAAAGGAAGAAAGCATCGAAGGGACTCGACACGATGTGTACAATCACGTATTGTGATTGTCGTCTTTTTAGTTTTCGGAGCAAATCATTGTATCGCTTAATGTGTTCACGATATACGTGGCATCCAAATATTTTTAACGATAAGTAAGAATATCGAGATACATTTTGCGTAAGACAAACATTTGACTGTGGTGGTTTCCAAGTTGCTTATCCTACTTAAAGTAGTCCGACGTAGCAGACTCATTGTAGAACTTTAAACGTTCTTTATCTTTTATTTTTCTGGAAATTTTTCGACTCGAGCTCAGTGTAGGATTATCGTAAAGTATATTCTATAATTGCAAAACTTTTTTGTCTTGCATTATATACATACACGTATATTAATATGATAATGCACTATATATGTATACATATTATGTCTATGTAACGGTGTTACAATTTAAGAAAATATCCATTTAGTCTGAGAGTGTAGGTTTGTAAAATGTAAAACAAATATCTGTCGCGTTTGAAATGGACAAGATAGAGAAAAGGTATAAAAGAAGAACATAGAAATACGGTACGTACAGGGAACTACGGTGTGCGATGAGAAGAGACAGAGGGAGAAGATTAAGCGCAGAAAAGCATACAACATGGAAAGAAAGAGGAAGAGAGAGATGAATGGAGAGATATATAGGAAGAAAGGAAAGAAGGAAGAACGAAGACATCTGCGCGAGAGTTCATCAGACTTCTAGCTGCACGACGATGCAAGATTGTATCTTAACATAATACATATATACGCTTTCAAAAATATAAATGCCAAATATGTCTTTACTTTATTCATCTGTACACAAATTCCTGACAACAAACAAAAGTACTGTGTTTTTGTTTATATGCGATTTTACGTATGCAAAGTGCTCCCGAGCTCACTTTTCGAAAAGCGGCACCGTCGCACATTATATTTCTTGATCCTTTGACGTACGATTCGCACTATCTTTTATATCGTGAATAAGCTTCGAGGATTACCAATGACACAGAGGAGAAGAAAATTTCTATTATTATGTGAAACAAGTGTTTTAAATAATTCTATAGACGGTTCGCCTTTTGAAAACTGAGAAAAGATGAAAGTATATTGATTATGGAATAGGCCTCTTATGATAAGGAAAACTAGGAATAAATGCGCTAATATTATGTCTGTGAAAATACTGTACGAATTACTATCAAAATATGCACTTTTTTATATGAATTCTATAGTCTTGTTGTTGTATACATACTGATGGTAGTAAGCCGTAATATCGTCGTAACTTAATCGTTGTTAGATATGATTTAGTTCGTAGAAGATAATTTCTCACGAAGCATCACGAAGCATTACATATAACGCAATTATTCCTACTAAAAATCAACAAGCTCCTGACCCTTTGTGTTATAAGTTATAAGACTAAGTTTAGAAAAGTGCATGATATATATTTCCGTTGTACTCATATCTTGATGTGTTATTTGAGATACAATTGAGTACAGTCAATGATTATTGACTGTAAACAGATAGAATTAAGAAAATCAAAAGTCACTCCACGATATACTGATAGTCAAATTATTTGGTTAATATTAAACATAGGATAAGGTAGCGTCAATATATCGGTGTATCGGAAAACATTGGTACATTGTGATACACAGTGAGTTGCAAATTCTATAATTCTGACGAAACTAAAACAATTTGACTAAAAGTATTATTTTCTCTAGCCAGCGGTTAATACACCTCCCATAACAGAGTCATTGATTCTAAAAAGACTAAAATATCCCTTTGAAAATATCGTTGATTTGCAAATTGTTAATATTATCGATACATTCAAACTGTATACATTCCATTTTCGAAGAACAAAATATCATCAATGCTTACTCTTGTGAATTTATTAGCTAAATTTTAAAATTCCCAGTGAATTTTGTTAAACATATGTGATTCCAAAGTAATCGAAAAACCTAAAGAGAGCAAAAAAAATATTTTTAAAGAAATATTATTTTTTGTGTATATGTGCGTGTGTAATTTAATTCGAAGCATACCCACTAAGCAAATTAATAGCAAAGTGCGCGCAGATTGGCAGCAAATTTGATCCTGTACCAAAACTATAACCATCTGTGTTTGCATTCAGCTTATATTTTAATGTCAGCTGACAGACAAACAGATCCTGTCGCACAGGGTCGCAGGGTCTGTTTGATTTTTGCTGCCAGTCTATCATCAGGTCGTTACAAGCTCTACTCAGATTGCCTGTTAGCAGGCTCTCTTATATTTCTGACTGCAGTTTGGCAATATAATCAGATATACAAATCCTGTGTTGGATTTGCTGCCTTCCTGCCATCACAAATTTGTAGTAAGTTCTGTTTAAAATTTGCTTGCACAGATTTGGCTATCTGGGTATGAGGTGACAATATTTGTCCGATTTTTGTTAATTCAAACGGATGTTTCCTGAATGATTATTCTTTCAGTTTTGTGTTCAATTAGCTTTAGCGTACATAATTTTACATAAAAGAGTGAAATTTTATTCATCTCTTTTTATTATTTTATAAGAGAAAGAAATTAATTTTGAAGAAAGGCATATGTCTTGTACATATTCTGTGTATATTCAACAGCGGATTGTTATGTAAACATTCCTGCCGTTGTATTTTGTAAATTGAAAGAAATTGTAATTCATTGTTATACAATTCTGATAAACAGAATTCTTTGTGCTAGAAAAAAATTCTTTATGAGCACATCCCTAATATTTATATATATTTTCAAGACTGTGAAAATAATGATAATACATTCAGTATAATGCTCCACTGAAAAGTGCTTTAAAAAGATTTTTTATTTTTTTAATATCTATTATTTTTGCACGAATTATGTACATATGCCCAATATTTTATTTATGTCGAAAACTAATGCGCACACAAGGAATGACTTTTTATCCATTACAAAACGTACTATTAAGAGATTCACAAAATAAAAAGGAATTATTTCTTTCAAATATTAACTCGTACCGAAACGCGAAATTTTAAACTTATTTAAGAACAAATCGCACGTTTCTTACTCGGAGATGGCGCTCTAGATTGCATAGTGAAACCTTTTACAAATTTGTAAAATTGTGATTACATGATTTTCACGCTTGTTATATTTTTGAAATGGTCAACAGATTTAAACGCGTACTTAATACGAACCGTAGAAAGTATTTAACTTACAATTAACTGTTTGTATTATATAAAAAAAGACAAAACATAACTATACATATGTTGAAAATTATGTACGATGTATTAGCATGCATATATATGTTGACTTTAGAGCCAACATATACATATATTGCTTACTACTCCTTTAGTTGAGTTGTCGCTGAGAACGACATAATTCCGATAGGTCAGTATTGAATTTTAAAATGTGATTTTTGCGATTTTATTGCACGCATATGATACTGTTTCACAAGTTCTAAATTTACAAGTAACGTAGCGCTTAAATATAATAGAAATACGAAACCGGTCTCACATTCAGTGTTGCAAATTTTGACAATTCACATTGAAATGCTATCGTAGAGAAGCTTCATATAATTAACACGATACAATTATTTTACAAGTATTTTACAAGTATCTTTCGAGAAACGTTATAAGAAATCGCGCACAACACAAACAACATATATGTATCAAATTTGTTTTATCTTGAGCTTGCTCTGTGCATAATATTGTCAAATTAATAATTCCATCAACTTATATTTTAATCATTACCTATATTAATAACGTCATCAATTGGAGAGAATCCTGTTGTTGACGTTTTGCGTGGTTTCATGTGCGATCACGAGTACCGTTTATATAGTTAATTTCTATATGCATATTTATAACTATCAGTTTCTAACTATCAGACTTTGTTTGCTAAGTGCACGTGACGATCATATTGAGGGAGAGAGAAAGAGAGAGAGAGAATGAAAGAGAAAGAGAGAGTGTAGCCTGTATGTTCATCAGACTCGAAACCGTGATCAACTCAACGTACTATAAGTCTCATCGTTGCGATTATTTGTCATATCTTTGATTTTACGTAGCGTTTTATTTGCGTAATATAATGATCATGCGAGAGGTACGAGTAAAGTTGCCTGGGAGAAAGAAATGTATATGGACGTAATGGGTAAGTGCCACACAGAATGTAGCTCTATACTTAATTATACTTAATTTTAAGCGTATTATTTTATATATATGATACAAAGACGAATATGCACGTTCCTTCATGAAATACGGATATATTTAATGTCTTATGATATTCATTAGAAAGGAAGTAAAAAGGAAACAAAATGCTTGTAACTGATCTAATGTACAATCGCAATTCGACATTTTGCTCGAAAATTATGTTAACACGTTGCTCACTGTGCAATTTGCAATTTACAAGAAATTCTAGTGATATATTTTTTGTAATATATACTCGAGTCGTGTGTGTGTGTATGAACTATTCAAATATTTAATTGCACGACAAGCAACGCGCGCGCGTTATCTGTTTTCTCTTTATAATTCAACGTCACTGTAAATATTTATTTATTGCATCAAGCGAAATGATCATGATGAGGAAATATGTTAATCGTGCATTATGTGGCATACTTGCCAGCACTTACATTTTCTTTCTGTCTCATCCTCCCAGCCTTCTTCATGGCCCTTCCCACCTCTCTATCTCTCTTTCTTCATTGCCACTACATCATCAGATTCATTGCTTCATTTTACGAAAAATTTAATTGATGCAATTAATATCGATTAATGACATTGCTGACATTTAAGAAACGCTAATAATATTAAGCAATGTGATCACACATGCAAAGATAGAGGCATAAATTCGATAGGTGTTATACCAAAGGCAAGTTTTCTACTTCCAAATTATATCATGAAATTAAACAAAAACAGATATTTTATAATACGAATGTTTTGCGATCTTTTAGCACTTATATATTTATTACTACTTCACAATTATATAGAAGCAGACCTTCTTCCATTTATTATCAGTGATCTGTGTTAAAAACTAAAACAAAACACGAAATATCGTTGAATTACTTAAATGTACAAATGTAACTCGATTGCTCAACAATCGAATTTATACAACAAAAATACTGCCTCAATTACATGCAATTATGTGCATAGTAAAAAATTACTATATGTAAGTTATATATGTGTCAACAATAATTCTATCAGTAGCTATCGCTATCAATTTTCTACTGCTTATCTATTTTTTATAGTTGTATACAACATAATTTTGTAGATAAGGTACATATACAAAGCTAACTAGTTAGCAAAGACAATCTAGTCACGTTATGATAAAATCACAACACTAAAATAAATACGCACACACACATACATACATGCATATATATATATATATATATACATACACACACATGTGTGTACATATATATATATACACACACACAAAAACATATGTGTGTGTGTGAATATATATATATATATATATACACACATATATATATATATACATATATACACATATATATATATACACATATATATATATATATCTATATATATCTATATTGACGTTTGATCATCTATTTTTTCCCAAGTACAGGTTCTACCACTATAACATTATACATGTATAATATATCGCGATGATTCGAACGTGTTTGAAAAGAGCATTATGTTATATTTAAAATCAGTGTGTATTGAATCACCATTTAAGTTTTACTTCATTAATGTATAATCATTTTTATAAAATGAACAACAATAATGTGATGAAATGTCACAGAATTAAATATTTTCGATCGTGTACGATAGATCGTATTTAGAAACCTTTTGTTGCACATTATGTAATTGTAAAATATATTTCGATAGTATAAATCTCAATAACGTCAAGTAAGGTAAGTGATAAGACAAATAATGTAATATTCGTAGAAATGTCGATATATCCTTGGGCTTGCTTGAATTTTACGTTAAAATGGAATAAGCGGCAGTGAGGAATCGCGTGAAAAAATTTTATTTTATATACTGTACATATCTGAGAACTTTCTTTATACACGAGAACAATTTCTCTGTTGCAATTGTAATTAATTACATTATTCGATTTCTTACGTGTTATAAAAAAAATTCAATTTTCATAAGTGGATCACGGTAAACTCGCAGTGTACTTTCTATCGAGATGATACGATTGTGTGATATCTATATTATTGTAACAATTTTATTCTGCCTACAATTTAAGATATTGTGAGTAATCGTTTGTTCAATTTTTATCTGTGATAACTAATGTAACGAGATAATAAATCCAAATATTTGTGACAAGACATAAAAGAGAATTGTAATAAATAATAAAGATTTATGTCTATTCAGAAAAGAGAATCAATTGATCTAAAAGAATAAATGTACAAAGCGTCTAACATAGCATCTTGTTTCCGCACAATGTACTTTTTTTATTGATTCATATTTACAATATTTACTGGTGAAGATTACATCTAGTGAGCTTTCTTTCTATCATACAATTTACATGATAGGCGTGACCACAACGGAAGATTGCAACTCCCTTGTTACCTAGCAGAATTGGTGTCTGCAGAGACAATGTGCAGCACGGGCATGCTAATGATTTAGTCTGATGACGCATACCCCAATGATGAGCCGATGTGCCGAACATATTCGTATCTATCGGTCGTCGTGTATCTTTTTCTAGAGCTTTTACCAACTGGTCACGTACCTGTGAAAGATTTAAATAAGTTCCAAAGATATTTGTTACGTTTACGTGGAGTACTCTTGCAGCGGGTTCTTTCAATTATTTACTATGCTAAAAATACTGATTAAATCGTACAAATTAAATGCTGATTATTTATCGTTTCATGTTATTAGCGGGATGATCTGTATTAATTTAATTTTTCCACAAATAATTAAGTATTAGTTAAGTAATAATTAAGTTGAAAAAAACTCGCAGAATCACAGAGGATTACGCAATTTAGCCTATACACACACATCAAAGGATAATATCGAAAGTATAATTCTACAAAAAACTGTCATTATACGTTTTGTAGGTTTCTGTGTTTAGACGCTTTATCGTGTTCGTGATAGAAATAACAAGATTACCTGCAACGAGCACATCGTACCAAACTCTGCCGATAGTTGATTATTTTTACTAAAATCAATCGATTTTTTCAGACCGTGGTGATGCAGAATTTTTGTAAATATAATCGACTGGAATATGCTGCAAAAAAAACAATACGTTAATATTGATATTCAGTCGAACCGAGAACAGCAAAGTATTAATGTAACCATCGTATGTGTCTTAGTACGTTTTGTCCAATGTGACATCCGGCATCATGTTCTGCAGCTTTTTGAGAAACGCCATGGCTTTGTCCGGCCCTTCTCTTCCCATAATTTCCCGGGCTATTCCACTCCAATCTATCAACATGTCGCAATCAGGTTTCTTGACCAAAGATGTCGCGCAGAACAGGCAAGTGCCATTTTTTATCTCGCTTATACATGCGTTCACACAACTCCACTGTTGTTCGTTTAGCGCCGGTAGCAAAAACGACAATACGACATTGTCTCTGGTCTGAAGGCATTGTCTCAGCACATCGTCTAGAGTGTCGCGTCGCTCGATGCGAGCAGCTAGGTATTCACGCCACATGTAAGGTACCTTGTCGCAGATGTTGCCACACTCCTCCGGCAGATTATTCGCGAATCTCGCAACCAACGATTGACCAATCTCTAGGAATTTCGGCTCCACTATACTTTGTTCCATCGGACGGGGGTAGCCGCAGCCGCATCTGGCGTAACTCGGCGCGTTGATGTCGGTGAATGCTCTGACAAATTGTCGCACGATGCGATCGTTACTGGTGGAACGTAGCAGCTGCACGGAGGTGCTCTCCAAAAAGGAGTTGTAGCAATTCAATTCTGCAGCGCGTGTCACTTCGTAGAGGAAAGCCTCAAGTCCGGGTGAATCCTTGTACGATTCCTTGATCATTCTCATTTTCCTGTCGATGTCCGAAACGATTTCCTCGACAACCTTTTCTGGTAAGCCGACCTTAATGTTATTTGCCAGAGCGTAGATCGACTCCAAGTCGGCCTGCACTCTGTACGTGATACTTTCTTGCAGATCAGATCTTTGATAATTTTCGTTTTTAACTAATGTTTCCGCGTTGTAATCGGAGTCGGTCGTCTCCTGCGTGTCCTCCTGCGCCAGATTTTCAGCAAATTCATTCGCGATCTCAGGTGTTTGCATTTCGGACGAATCTTCGCTCGAGATTTCAGGGGACTGCGACGCGGACGTTGTTTCGCAATAAGTTCTTCTATTCGCGACAAACTCGTCGTTATCAGGATGTACGACCACGATACCGGATTCCAGTTTGGCCGGCGATCTATCATTACTGCCGGATCGTAGAAGCGTTATTAGCGATTGTAACCGCAGTCGCAGTATTTCCTCCTTCTCTCGCGACGAATCAACGGCTTGCGGCAAATCATTCAATTCGAGCAGCTCTAGCATCTCTTTCTTGGCGATCGTCTTCGACAAGTGCTTCTTATAAAGTACACAAGCGCGCAGACACTCGCGATATTCTTCGTAACGATACAGTCGTAATATCAGTGCACTAAGCGACGATAACGTTAGGCAATGGAACTCGCTATCAATGGTCATAAGATAAATCTTGTCACCCGCAACTGCAGCCATGCTGATGTTGGTGAATTCGTTGCTCCACAGCAGCACGCTCGCACTCGCAGGATCGATCACGTATAGACCGCTCGTCGTGTGACAAAATAAGTATTTGCTCGCGACTACAAAGAGATGAGTAAAGTTGACGGATTGCGCCGGCCATTCGCGCTCCGTACTCTCTGTTTGCTCCCTGTCCTTCACTTCGTGACTAGATGACGGATTGGCGGCGGCCGATCGAAAAATCGTTCTCGGGGACACGGCTAGCGCCTCTTTCAATTGATGTGTTTTTATGACCACCCCGTCGGCAGATACCTCCCACAGTCGCGACCCTGGTCGTGCGCAAAAGATCTTCGGGCAATTCTCGCTCAAGATATTACTGTCGTTGTCGGAGATCAAATTGAACGTGCCGCGCGAATTGCCAATGTTTCCCGCTTCCATTCTTTCAGCGTCCAACGTAACGCCGCTCTCGTGCGTTTGCGCTTCATAGAAGCATGCACCGAATTCACCATTGCGCGCCTTATTACCTATTTGTTTGTATTGCTCTTGTGACGTGTCGCAAATGTAACAGCGAGTTAACGTGGATATAAGCAGTAGAGACGAGCAGAAGTTCAGCTGCACGACGCTGGAGTCTAGATTCATTAGTGTGTAGACTCGAGTTTGAAACATGCCATTGACCTGAGCACAATAAGAAAATATTACTATAGATACATTGTGTAAGGTATCAAGAGAGTATAACTGTTGTCGAAAATTATTCATCAAATATTAATTGGTTGGCATATATCTTTGATTGATTGAAATGTGTATACAATATTGAAATGAATACAAACAACTTACTGTAAATATAGATAACACCATGACAGAAATCCTACCAACTGCATCACCAATGTATACTTCAGTGCTGTTTTTGTTCCAGCAGAGACAAGTGATTTGTTTATATATATACTCTGTAGATACAGTTATTAGTCGTGGAGTAGGCTTTAAAGAGACTAGGCATACAATATCACGAGTTGTTGTTAAGGCTACAGTCTTTTCATCAGGTGATATCGCCACATGTGAAACCACACCCTCCTAGAATTTAGAAACAAAAATATTCTTTTTTCTTACTATATATATATATAAACTGAAAAATTCTTTTCTATTCTGAAACTAGATTGATATTTAACTGGAATTATATATCTTATGATCAATTGACTAATTTACAAATACAATTATTGCTCATACATATAAAAGAGGATTGCTACATACCGATAGAGGTATTATTTGTAGAAACAAACATGGTTCTCTGCAGAACAAATATAAACTGCCACTGGTTGAACCAAGTATAATATAATTCAAGGACACGTTGAAACATGTATACTGTAATTTATATGATTCATATTACACATGTGTCTGTATATTCATAATGAATTAATATACAATTAGGCAAATAAAAAGACTGAAAGAGAACATTCTGAATTTTGACAAGTTTTAAATATCTATTTTGCTCTTAATTTCCTAAGCACTAGAAACTACTATTAGCATAATATAAAGCCATTAATAAATTAATAACATAGAGGGAGGAGGGCGAGATACAGGAACGCAACATAATTATTTTTGTCATCGACTTAAAATCAGCTGACTTACATCCCTTAATTTAACCTCGTTAATCGCTTCGACTAGATGTAAAAAATGCACAGTTACATAAAGTATTTATCTCTTCCTACGCCATATGTACCTTTATTCGTTGCGTCGAGTTAATCGGTTTGTATAGGAGACTGTTGATTTCCTCACGTTCCGATAGAACATAAGAAAAGTCCAACGAGGCGCAGTGCATTTTCGCCCACCATCTTCTATAATAACTGCTCTCCATTTGCATGGCTCGTTTGATACAGAGCTGTTTCATTGGTTGCATATGATCTTAAGATGATATGCAGCCAATGAAATAACTTCTCGTATACAAGAAGTCGTGCACATGTAAAGTATATATAAGATCCCTGATGGCTTCTGCACACAAAATGCGGTAATGCTTGCCGCGCAGCGGAAGTCCACGCGACAGCCAATCAATCAATCAATCAATCTGCTACTTTCCGTAATAATCTTCTAACTCTTACGGAAAAACAACATATTGATTGGCTGTCGTGCGGACTTCCGCCGCGCGGCAAGCATTACCGTGTTCTGCGTGCAGGAGCCATAAGACGTAAGTAGCAATAGGTGCTTTCCAGTTGCGTACACTGTGTTACACAACTAGTGTTACAAACTAGTTTATTGGTTGCATACTATCTCACAAGATATTTTAGATAATATGTAACCAATAAACTAGTTTTGTATACGTGTGTGTCAAGATGTATTAAGCAATTGGAAGCACACTGTCCACTGCCAATCTCATTGGGTGAGTTCAGGAGACACAACGGTTGAGTAATTAGTCAACGTAATTGGTCTAAAGTTAGGGATCTAACAGTAAGGACCAATAATCACTGATCGCTCACTGATCAGCTGTTTTCTGAACGCAACCATTGTAGATGCATGTTAAAGTGGCCGATGATTTTTACGCAACTTTAATATTGATGAAATAAATTAACTGAAAAAAGTAAAAAAATTTAAAGTTAATGCTAAAGTAAAAGTTAATGCTAAAAAATTAAAGTTAAAAATGAACTAAGTTTAAGTTGAAAATTAACTTATTTAAGTTTAACTAAGTTGAGTTAATCTGAAGTATTACTCAGAAACGTAAAATTCCAGATGAAAAAATTACAAACTATTGAATATATCGTAAAGAAAAAGAAATTGTAAAAATGTGTATCTTTTATTATGCAAAACTTCTTTTGTTATTTAGCAATTAGTATAAATTAAGGTCCTGTGAAACAAGAGGAAAGAAAACACAACAATGAAATTTATACTTCAATCTAAAGTATTAATTACTCTTTATTCTGATGACAAATTACACATTTTTCCAAGAGTCACTTATTTTCATCATTAAATTTTCATTTACAAATTTCTTACATCTAATATATACTGGTCATTCTAATTTGTGTTTCAGATTTGTAGTTCAGATTTTTATACATTATGTTTTAATGTTGCTATTAACTTCTCTTTTTTCTCTTTCTTCAATAAGTCTAATGTATTGTTCATGAGTCAGTAGAGATTTTTTCAGATTTTCTAAATGTTTTATATTCGGCAAAATTATAGCCAAGTATCCACCTTTATGTGGCAGTTCCCTCAGAAGTTGTGGCTTTTCTGACAACATTTCATTAACTTCCACCAACTTTCCTATCATACAACATTTAATCAGATATCTTTGCCCATCTGAACAAAGTACAGTACAAATATTTGAGTTTATTTGTAATGGTTGCGCACCATGCTTACTCTTTCCAGAGACTTTATTCAGAGTTCTATCTAATTTATCACTTATCTTAAAATCAACTTTCATTATATCTTTACCGTCTTGTAAGATGACATGACTAGGTGCTAGGGAGAACATACAGATACGATTACTATGTATGTGTATGCATATATCATCTCCTGGTGATTGTACGTTTATTTTATAGTACGCGGCAAAATAACGTTCAGTTATAGTAGGAAAGTTACCATTGTACTGCACTTCATCTAACATGTCAGAAATATCCTCATCAGGAGGAAACACAAACGTCTCATCGTCGTTTGCATCAGTGGCTGCCTCATTGTAACTATTCACTAATTCTTCATTGCCTTCTTGTTCAAGGAAATCTTCTTTTATATTTTCTTGTATATCTCCACTTTCCTCTTTTCCATATTCGTTTTTGCAATTGTTCTCACGCTTGAAGCGTTTGCTCAATGGTTTATCATCCTTTGCTTTCAAATTCATATTAAATTTCTAACCTCACGTTATTAACAATACAACATTCGTACTATCTCTGTATATAAATCACACAATTAATCACTGTTTGTTTTCTGTAACGTTTCGTGTCTTTGTAATATTCTGCGTCCGTGTTGTGCGTTTTCTTTCCTACGAATTTGTCTCTGTAACAATGAATAAAATTAATTATCAATGATAAGAAAATAAGAATTAGGGACATCTTACTTGTTCTCTTATACATTCGTTCATCTCCTTTTGGATTTGTTCGCAGTACCCGAAAAACTTTCTATACGGATGCTACAATCATAAAATTGTTGAGACTTGTGCAAATTATGTTGGACGTGCGACAAAATATACGAGTCCTTATACCTCGTTTTCGCAATCCTGAAATTTACGAAATACCCAATTACATGCGGAATTATGCGCAGCCAACGATCTGTAATTCATCCTCGATTTATTGGATCTGTTCTTTGTAGCTGCATTGCTGAACTGGTACAATATATTGAAGTGAAACAAATATACGTTTTCTCATTCTAACTTATTGCACTAGTTCAGTAGTGCAGCTACAAAGAACAGGCCTATTATGGATGTGTTCGCGAAGTTCATTATCGTGCTACCAACGCAAACGCTATCAAGAACTGTTCACGAAGTCAGTAATGCGATTCTCTAACTTCATAACGACGATGTCACTAGCCTAGTGTATCGTTATGAGGATTTAACGACACTGTAACGAAAAATGGTATTCTATAATTTTTCTTAACGATAAATATCGTTAAAAGTGTCGATAAAATATCGAATTTTGTCGTTAAGATATCAAGGAGTATGAAACCTCTCGATAAGTAATAACGACAATATAACTAGGTATGCTCCAAGTAGTAAGGTACCTTACCCATGGGAGCATCGAGCGTCGAGCGTTAAAGCGGTAGCCAATCAACGTGCCATTTTCCGCAAGAACTACAAGTATACTTCTAAGACCTGATACATTAATTGGCTAACGCTTTAACGCTCGACGCTGGAACGCTCCCATGTATTGGCACCTGTAGGAAAGTGTGGCTCTACAGTCGCCGACTACTGGCTCTTTCTCTCCTTAATTTTTGTATCTTTTCAGATACTTTTGATTTATGATCTCGCCATGTCTACAAAAATATTAAAAAAACAATATTAAAAATGTATTAATATAGTTGTATATTTTTTCAATCTTTTATATATTAATTAAACATACAGTTATATACACACACACACACACACACACAAATATATGACATCTATTTGATATTAACTATATTGGTCCACATATATTAGGTGCGCAACTAAATTCCCGCTGTTTGTCAATAGATGGCTCCAGCAATAAGTGCTGGTCGATTTTGACATATCCAAAATGTCATGAATCAAGCTTAGACATATGGTAAACAAACCGCTTTGACACGTTAGTGATTTTGTTTTGGCGTCATATACTTTTGGTTGTGTGAAAATGTCTGATTTTGTGCCAAATAATCGTCATTTGCGGGAAGTGTTGATTTTCTTATTTCATTCGAAGAAAATGGCGGCTGAAGCGCATCGAGAGCTCCAAAAAGTTTACGGAGATGCTGCTCTAAGTGAAACAACGTGCCGTGATTGGTTTCGTCGCTTCAAAGACGGTGATTTCGATGTTGACGACCGTCCGCGTGAAGGAAGGCCAAAAACCTTCGAAGACGCTGAATTGGAGGCATTGCTCGATGAGGATCCGTGCCAAACGCAAGAACAGCTTGCTTCAGCATTAGGAGTTACCCGCCAAGCCATTTCCAAGCGATTGCATGCGTTGGGAATGATTCAAAAGCAAGGAACTTGGGTTCCTTATGATTTGAAGCCAAGGGACGTTGAGCGTCGTTTTTTCGGGTGTATATCAGTTGGACACGGGGCAATTGGACACAGTCCAATCACAAGTCGCTGTTCCAAGGGACCCTACAAATGTCTCTAATCACACGGTGCTGTGATTGGCTGTGTCCAAATGCACCGTGTCCAAGTGCGCCGCTTCCGATACGGTATCGCTAGCTTGAGTTACAGAATAGCTTTTTCGTTACAACGTCGTTAGCGCAAGCGACGATCGTCGCTACGATAACGATGTTGTCGTTAGAAAATAGGCCTACTGATCTAAGGGTCTTTTGTTGTTTCTGTGATGCACTCTCTATTTCGTAGCTCTTTTACTTTGCATGTATAATTTCACCCTGCATAAACAGTAAGGAAATTGACCAATCACAATCGACTATTCTCTTTACGGCCGAAAAATAATTAACTGCGATTGGTCAATTTGCTTAATATACTTTCATTATTTCACATAGATTTAAGCGAGATTTAAAGACTAATTATAAAATAAAAAAAATACATATAGTTTTAGTTAAGTTTTCCGTAAGTAACTTCTAACTTCTTTTTAAACTTTTAATTGCGTTAGTATTTTATTTGAGTAGCGTAAACTCAATTATTTTATAGCGAACTAACTTTTAACTTAACTCAGTTAAAAACCAAAAGTAACTTACCCAACCCTGCTTCAGAGTAATATACGAAAATACATTTATTTAACAACCATGTAAATTTAATTCAGGTAGTTACTTAAAACTAATCACATACGTGTGTGTACAATTTAAAGATATTATTAATTTCCTGACTAGTTGCAATACCAGGTCTCTTTTCTGTATATCTATTACGAGTGATTCGGTATATCTGCTGTTTGGTATATGATTTCTCCTTAATCTTTGATCTCTTTCTTCATGGATTTCTTCATCAAGTTTCCTAATATAATACCAGTAAAGAGTATCATGCCTACCTTATGATTGGATATAAATCTTTTGGCACAATCCGTTGGATTATTTATATTCAAAAAGTATATCTGCAAAGAAGTGGTAACTTTCTTATTGTGAGATCCGACAGATATAATAATTCTAAAGTTACAGATTCTTTTTTTGCGATGTTTACTTGATTGCCAATATGCGCCGCCACTAATCCAACCGTGGTATAATAAGGCCAAGTTTGAGCCGCTAATATGCCTGAGTTAACTAAACACGCGATCATCGCTATTGCAAATCCGGATAGGTAAAATTTTGTGTCATCCCCAAATTTGATGGCTGTTGATTTCATACCTAGCAGAATATCATCTGATCTATCCTAATGTACGAAATAAATTGAGAAGTAATGTATACAAGTATGAAACGCTATTGAATCTGTTGTACTCACTTGATGAGCATATATTGTGTCGTACACAATAGTCCAACAAACACCACCTATGTACATTGGCATGCAAATAGACCAATCGCATGATCCATGTATAGCAGACCATCCTAACAACGCACCCCAGTTAAATGTCATTCCCAAGATAAGTTGTGGCCAATATGTTACTCTCTTCATGAGAGGATAAATGACTACTAAACCTAAAAAATAGTAAACACATTTTAATTCCATTACACGTAAAATTTATTTTAATATATTACTTGAACAGTACCTAGCGAGCTGGCACCAAGAAATACGCTATACCAGTTTAATTGTAATAATATGAATAATCCTAAACTCAATTGTCCTGCTAGAAATATTATTGATTGCTTCATAGTTATTTGGCCAATTGCTAAAGGTCTGTCCTTTGTTCTAACTACCTAATGACATAGGTTCTTTATAGTGTATACAATAGTGTGCAATGTTATATTATTTTGGTTTTACCATTTTATCAATATCACGATCCCATAAATCATTTATGATGCATCCTGCACCACGCATTACAAACGAACCTATGCCAAAAAGTAACAGCATATAAGGATCTGGTAAAGTACCAGCAGGTGTTGCCATGGCAATGCTCCATCCACAAGGCCAAAATAGTAACCAGCTTCCTAAGAAGATATTTAAAAACCATTTTAAGTAACGATGCTTCTGACAAAAGCAGATACTTGATAACAATCAGGTATTAGCAGCGATAATATAATAGTAATAGTTTTTTTTTTCAAATCAATTCAACTTTATTGAATAATTAAGCCTCACACCTATTGGTTTGTCCATTCTAATAAGCTTCATATATGGTTGTACTTTGGGTGAGGCATTATTGACTAGTTTTGCAGCCAAGCCCAAATATCTTTTCTGTTGTAAATCTACTAACTTTATACATGTTAATATATCACTTGTCCTTAATAAGTTTGTAGTTCTTCGCTCACTGAGATTCACTTTAGGCTTGAATTTATCTTGTACTACAGAGCAAACCTCTGCATAGGATCTATTCTGCATATAGTTGAATGCTAAGCTGTCTAACAGCATAAACTCTGGATATACTTTACATGACAGTGAACCAACTGCAGTGAGCCGATGGTATCTTCTTACGACTAACATCATTTGATTTTTCCTGTTAACAATTATAAAGAATTTATGACTTATCATGTTGTATAGTCAATTATATTAATTTGATTTTGTTAACGTTGTTTTTTTATAAAATAATTCGAAGAATTCTTTAGTTTAATAACAAGTTACTACAATTGCATTTCAAAACATCCTCTTTGAGGAAAATTTTACTCAATATTCTATATGTAACATGAACTATATAAGATATTGAATAAAATTTTCCTTAAAAAGGATGTTTTGGAATGTAACCTAGAAAAGAAAATAAAGACCTACAAGATACGAGATATAAATAAAACATTCGACAAATATTGAGATACTATTGATTAAATATGGTTAGAATAGAGAATTGTAGCATCTAGCACGCATACTTACTTTCAGTCGAACCGATTTAGTATCTGTACAGTTATAATCATAAAAATATAAAACGAGTAACTTTAATAACAAAATATGCTATATGTATTTACTTTCCGTCGTTTTCGAAGAGCGACACACAGATAATAGCCACATTTATATATTTGATAAATAAATCGCAAATTGAAAATAGCAAATATTTGACCTTTAATCAGTGTATCACATCATGATATAGCATATTATATTATTATTGCGATATTATTATCCGTTTAAATCACACACATATAGTGTGGCAGCACTAGACTAAACACTTGTTCAAAATTATTCAAAATTCACGGCTGCACCAGGGGGTACAAACTCACTCTTGTAAAAATTGGATCCCGTTTTTAGTGGCGTCCTCTGAAATTGTCTCCGGATGTGGGCGAACTAAACGGGTGACGTCTGCGGAGTGGGGATACGCGCCAATGAATATGAACTGGCGCGCATAGGCAGACGTTCTTGAAACGTTTTAGCGAGCAATAGCGAGCAACTGCGAGCAACAGCGAACAACAGCGAGCAACAGCGAGCACTAATTAAAGCTATAAATATATATATTATCTTATTACTAATCATTGTAGAGTAGTAATAGTGTAGTAATAGTACTAAAACAATTAGCTAAATCGTAGAAGTAGCAACTAGCCTATAATACCTAACAGTAGCATACAACACATACACACATCCACACATATACACTCATCACGCGCGCGTGCACCACACACACACACACACATACATAACAGACACATCACACGCACGCACACCATACGCATATACATCACACACATTCACACGCACACATGCATGCCATATATATAGTATACTAACAATACTACATTATAAGTGTATATATATAATATTAACCTTATATCATATTAATATAAAATATCATATCTTTATTAACATCGCGAGAGTTACCGGATACCTCATATTATTTGATTCTTTCATTTTTTAATTCTCATAATCTTATGAAAATAGTAAAAGATGTACATTTATATATGTGCATATATGCATGCACACAACTGTATACGTGCCATACGTGCATAAGTTGCTTGCTATTGCTCTCTATAACGCTGTCTGTGCGTGCCATTCATACTTCTATTGGCGCGCATCCCCACTCCGCGTGACGTCACCCGTTTAGTTCGGCCACTTCCGGAGACAATCTCAGAGGGCGGTAGGTGTAGGTAGTGCCACTTACCAGACGGGAGTTATTACCCCCTGGGATGCACTTCGATTCTCCATGCGGGTGAGAAGGGCTGCGTTCCGAAATTCACTGCCAGTACTGAAATTCTATAATATACG